ACCCGGAAATGACTTCATATGCTGCTATGGGAACTTCACTATTTTGAACTATTCCTGTGCCTCTAAACAGGTCGTAATAAAGAAGCGCTTCGTTCTTATGCAATTTTTATTCTGATTATTTCAGCTTTGAAATACCCACACCCAAATTGCGCAAGCACTTGCATAAATGCTGCATAAAGTTTGTTCCCGAGTGTTATTGCTTTCTCAAAAATTGTTAGAATTTTTGGAAAAGATTATATATTCTCAATCCAGACTAATGCAGGCATATAAAACTGTGCATACAAATAAATAAAAATCTACGTGCAATGGAAATTAAAACAATAAAAAAAGTTTAAATAAATCAGCTGATTAAAGAAGTTATCTAACTCAATATAGGTAATTATTTGTAGAGAAAAAAAAGGCGTTACTTTTGCCTCTCAGAAAATTTTTTAATTACTATTTTAAACAATAAAATGTATGAAATATAGTGAAAATGAAAGCATGTTTCTAATTGTCAACATAAAATTTATTAAGATTTTGGTAATTATCTAATCTTTACTATTTATCTTGGAAATTAACCTTCTAGTCTTGTTTCTAAAAAATCAGCCGAGATTTGTATGAAAAACTTAAATTAGTGGCAAAATAATAGTATTTTCAACATTAAATATTAGGAATTATATCAACAATTTCGCATTATAGTAAGAGTACATTTGGCATAGAGTTTCGCGTGTAGTGCGTATCCAAGACCCATATCTAACACTTAATTGAACACATTCGGGTTTTTTTTTATTAGAAAATCAATTTCTACTATTCTTTCCTACATCTACAAAAATTTACAATGCCGCAAATACACTACTGGCTATTAAAATTGCTACACCAGGAAGGCGACACACTACGAACGTGAAATTTGCAGGACTGATAAAGCATGTTGTGGTATGCAAATGATTTGCTTATCAGGGCATTCATGCAAAGCAGGCGGCGAAAGCATTACCTAAAATGTGTATAAAAGAAGAGATTTGACAATAAGTTTCTCATACAGAAAATTGAATTTGAGCGTTGTTCTTGAGCAAAAAATTTTTGTTGTGCCTCGTGTATGAAGGAGAAATGCCTACCAGCACGTGTCTGAGTTTGATCGAGGTCGAATTGTGGCCTACCAGGATTGCGGTTTATCGTACTAAAGTATTGATGGTTGCGTTGGCCGAGATACCACGATTGTTAGTAGAATATAGAATCGACGGGTTCATGACGGTCATATGAAACGTCGTGCAGGATCTCAGCGGCCCCAACACTAACAGCTGAGAAGACAGACATGTTATCCACATGACCTTAAGGGATCGTACAGCTACGTCACGAACCCTCAGTTAACAAACGGGGTCATTTTCAATACAACAAGTGTCTGCACGAACAGTTCGACGACGTTTGCAACAGCATGGGCTGTCAGCACGTCGACCATGGCTTCAACTGCCCTTGACGCTGCATCACAGGCAGGAGCTCCTCCAATGGTGTGATTAACGATTAACAACGAACCTGGATGCAGGAATGGCATGACGTCGTCTTTTCAGACGAATCCATCAGGCTCTGTATACAGCATCATGATGGCCGCATTCGTGTTTGGCGACATCGGGGAGAATGCCCATTGGCAGCTTGCATTCGACATCGTCATACTGGCCCATCACCTGGAGTAATGGTATAGGGTGAAATTGGATACACGTCTCGATCACCTCTTCTTCTCATTGTCGGCACTTTTAACAGCAGCCGTTACATTTTTGATGTGTTAGGGCCAGTTTCTCTGCCTTATCTTCGAGGCCTCCATAACGCTACGTTTCAGCAGGACAATGCACAACCGCATGTTGCCCGCACTGTTCTGACCTTCCTTGACCTTTTCTATTTGCCTGTTGCCCTGGTCAGAACGTTCTCCTGATCTCTCACTAATGGAAAACGTTTGGTCAATGGTTGCTGAACGACTGGCACGCCTCCACTCGTCAGTCACAACGGTCGATGAATTGTGACATAATGTTGAAGCTGCATGGAATGCTGTACCCGTCCAGGTTATCTAATCTCTGATCGACTCGATGTCGAGGAGAATAACTGCTGTTATGTTATTACTGCCACGGGAGGCTGCTCTGATTACTGATTCCTCAGGATCTATCCACCCAAATATCCTGAAAATTTAATCACTTGTTCTTCCAACTATAATGTATGTGCTCAATAAATATCATGATGTTATTTGCATTTCTTCCTGGTGAGGCAATTTTATTGGCAAATATTTTTATACATTCATTTTTTAAAATGTATTACAAAAAGGGAAATTATTTTTTCATGAAAAAAAATTCTACCAAAAAGGACTACACATCGTAAAATAATGAATGACGCATCGAGACATAGTACTTAAAAAGTCATTCTTTATTCTTAAATTTTTTTGTACCCTTGATTAAATAGTAAAGTAAGGAAATACAGAAAAAAATTTTCAATTGTGAACCTAAATTCAAAAGTGATGCTTTATATTTTATAAAATCTCCCCGGTTTTCATAAAATCAACAAGACATAACGCATTAAATTAAAAAAGAATAAATGGAGAGTTCTCATGGTCATTCTCTAAATGCCCTCCTCCCAATTTTAGTCTGGCATTCACTCTTTAAAAATATTATGTGAAGCTTATACCCTATCTGACCCCTTTTAAAATGCGGAACTCTTTCTATTCAAAGTCAAACACGTTGCTTTAGTGCTACATGCTGCTCTTTCCATCTAGAGTAAAACTTTTACTCATTGAACTTTAAGCATATAGAAAGTTAATCTAATAATATATAATTAAAAAAAAAACTATATATTTTTCAAGCAAACAATATTAACAAAAATGAGGAAATAAAAATTAAGAGAACACTAAATCTGAGTCTCGGTTGGCACCCTCCCCTAATTTGGCTAAAATTAATATGAGCCATTAAGGTATCGTTCTCCAATAATGCAGTGTCTTCCGTCTAAAACGAAAATCATATTTAGTGGTGGATATGTTAATTGCTATTTCGTTTTAAAAATTAATTCTTATATTCCTTTATATCAGAATTTTCTACTTGACAATGACTTATAAGCCTATATTGAGCACACAAGTCAGCAAATGTATGTAATTTCAATAAATCAATAAATTTATATCAGGGATATTGCAACTTAAAATTAGTTCGCTCAAAAATCCTTAAAAATGATCGAATTTGCAATAAAGGTCATGAAAATTTTTGCGACCGGTAGATACTATGTATAAAATAATTTTTTCATTTAATATTTTTTTATTTTTTTATTTCTATGATATTACCTCATTATGCTATATTTTATAATAGACTTATTTAAATCTGTGTCTAAACTTATTAACCCTTTTATAACTAATATATTTTGTTGCAAATTACTACAATATACTATTATAAAATACAATTTAGGAAACTCGTTAAATGATTAAGAACATAATGATGAGCTTCATGCAGTGTGAGGATGAGTGGAGATAACAGTGGCAATGTTTTCTTCACCACCGAAAGTGGAAATGTCTATTATTATGAATGCACACGCCACAATAATTGCCTATACGATAAATAACTTTTTCTTGTGAGAAGGACATGGAACTAGGAGTGAGTAGTTCATGATGATTTGAAGAAATTTCCTCGACGTCTCAACAAAGTGGAAGGAGAAAAAAAAATTAAAATATATAACTTTAAACCAGTCCTGAATGTTTGGTGGCCCGGGGCTGTAGCCCAGTTTTCCCATCTCAAAGCAGGGTCCTGGCCACAGGTGGCGTATAATAAAATCCTTACCTACGACAATATTAGGCATGCTTTCATCAGTAGTGTGTGGATAGTCGTAGGAGTTAGAAGTACGTTAGTTTTTGTCATGATTTTCAAAGCAATTAAATCTTTTTAAGCTTGTAAATTATGGATCTCAACGGTATGAAACATAATGATTATACATAATGATTAACGTAAACATCATGGAAATTTTAAAATTTATTTTTAATAATCTTACTGCTAAAGATATTTTGGAATTCGGAGAAATTGAAATACGTTACCATGCACCTGGTTAAATATCAATTGGTGATCAAAATGCGCTACGGGGGTGTAGAACAGAACTCTCTACCTATGGCAACACTTCGCATGTTTTCGCCATTAGCGTGTGGAGAGTCATAGGAGAAGAAAATACGTTCGATTCCGTCTTGATTTTCAAATAGATTAAAAACTTTTAAGTTAGGAAGCCATTTTTAACTGCCGACTACATTGAACATAGTTTTAAAAGAAAGCATCGAGGAAATTTTAAAAATATTTTTGACAGTGAAATAGAGAAAAATATAAAGAAAGGGGAAAATATCGTAGTACATTCCTATGAATGGTTGACAGAATGTAAGCAATATCAAGCTCCCTATTACCTGAAAAAATTTAGAAAACCTCTGGTGTATCCCTCCACTTATGTTATGCTTATGAGGCGATGTGTGAACAAGTTTAATATTCTAGGAAGTTTTATTAATGTAATTTATGTTTAAATTTGAGCGTAATTTTACCATTCACAAGAGTTTAACTTAGTTTACAAATGTTAACGGGTTGTGAGCCTAAAATAAATGTAAGCAAATTTATTTCACAACATGATTAAAGTGTAAGGTTTACCATGTTTCGAGTGTTATGTAAAGTATCGCAGTTAGTTATTTTTTGGGTTGCATCTTGTAGGGCACAACATGTTTGTAGAGTCTTACAAATTCTTATGATGTTTGTTTCGTTGGAATTTAAATTGAAAAAAAAAAAACGCGTTATATTGTGAAAAATACAAATATAATAATATTTGATGGAACCATTTTTCAAGTTTAATCATAAAAATCAATTGAAAGTAGGAACTTTTAAGTCTTACGATGAATTTTACCCCTAGTAGCGCCATTTGTGTTTAGCTTTACACGATCATCCATTCGTACAACTGAGAAAAGGAGGAGAGGAAATCTGAAGGAGTCAGCACATGGAACTGATCTTCTCCCCAGATGACGCACTCAACTGTTGCGTACCTTAAAAAAGAGCACAATTGTATCAATCCATCAATTCGTCAAACCAAACAACCTGCTCCCGCTAAATTTGTAGCTGATTTGTTGCAATTTACCACTGAGCAACGAAATATGGATCATGAATCATTTTTGAAAGATGAATATGGGTATGGTGAAACAATATTTTATAAAGGAATAAATTATTTTTTATTTTTAAGTTTAATATTTCCCCCCTAGAAAAATGAGCCGTAGTAATATAAATTAAAGAGTATTTCAGTTATTGAAGCATAGACCTATTTTGATACAAGTTAAAGAATAACAAAGGTATACTACATTAGCAACGCAAACAATTCACGTCTCAATGTAACTTTCAAAAGAACACATAAGAGTAAAAAATTAACAGCACCTGTTCTTTAAAAATACTTGCTTAAGCTTAGCCACAGGTAGATAACGTTTATTGATGATAAACATTTTTTTCTCTACCATTCCAGAGCTATTTTTAAAATCCAATCACCAGATGAAAAACCCCTCTTCCGCTATAAATATAGTAACTTGAAACAGTTTGAAAATCTGGTATATTTCCGTTGTGATCTGTCACACAAACTGCAATTGGATTTTAAGCTTGCTATCATAGAATTTATTGAAGAAGTGTATGTGGAGTTCCAGAGATGACTGATTGTACAGATTTCCATATTGTAATCTGTGGCAGAATAATCTCCAAGTCTTTGCAACTTCCGGGCAGCTGCCTTCAAGAAACTGAGAAGAAAAGCGTCTCGGAAGGGGACCAACTCGAAAGGTTTAACGCGTAGTTATCCCGGGCAAAGATCTACATGTTTTTCTTTTTTTAAAAATTTTTGCAAGTTTAAAATTTATTTGGCACCGTGGCGAATGTAGTTGGCTCGACAGATTACGATACGCTGCAAGGCCAAGCCCTCACTCAACAGATCCGACGACCAAGAAATCAAAAATGCCATGTATATCTTAACTTAGTTTTTGATTTGCTATCCATGCATTGGCTATTAATTGATTTAATTTATTGCCAAAGCTGTTTTTCTTTTTCTTACTCATACAAATGTGTTGGCTGAACGGAAAGTATGTGAAATAGTTATGAATTTTAATGAATTCAAAAAAATTAGCAAAACATTATCTTTGGTACTTATCAGTTTAGCAGGCTTAAAGAAATTCAAAAATTTTTTTGTGTATTTTTTAAATTTTTTAATTTATAAAATTTTTTTTTGGTGAAAATCCTTTTTGTTCAGTTTTTAAAGAAAAAAAAATTGGCTAAAGTCGACATTTTTTGGCGACTTTTTGCTTGCGCCCAGCCAACCAAAAAGTATTTATGTTTTTTTGTAAGGTTTGTAAATTTTTACACTTTTAATATTGTGTTTATTAATTATTTTTATTATTTATAATTTTTATTATTATTTTTTGTGAGTATTTTTAACTGTGTGAAAGTTTATGTGCATATCTGAATAATTAGGTTTTGAGTGATAAATATTGAAGCACTTGATTGAACCTTGATTGAAGCACTTATTTTTTTCTTTTTACTAATGCAGTATTGTTTTAATATTGTTTTGTACTATTATAATTTTATTAATAAAGGGCACTTAATTCCTTCTTCGTTTTTGTTTTGCATTATGTGTCAAAAATTTTATGATGACTTAAAACAGATTTTGAAATATTTGCATTTTCTTCACAGATGGGATGATGTATTTGATGATGAAAATTTTTATAATGATGACGAATTCAATAAATGTAAGTTTCCTTACTTTATAAAGTTAATAATGATGATAATTATCTGTATAAATGATTCAATTTTTTTAATATTATTGTGTTTAGTAATACCTCCTATTGAGTTTGTTAGTAAACTTAAAAAATTAAAAGTTTTTTCGTTATTCACAAACAGACAAAAAGGAGACATCTTATAGCATACTTCAGAAATATACATGCATAGTTTAAGTCATTTGTTCTGAGCTTGTAGGATTCAAAGCAATCCTCTTGTTAAATAAAGATGTTTCTTAAACTCTGAAATTTAAAAAAATAAAAGCTGTAATAGCAAATTTACCTATTCTAGTATAAAGAACTATTGGTTTTTTTTAATTATTGAACCAATTTATAAAATAACTTTTGACAAAAGATGTCTAGCCTCAATAAATTAGCAAAGTATTGTTGATTTATTTAATGAAGAGTAAATATGAAAAATACAAAAATAATGCCCTTTAATAAAAATGCAATTTAAAATTTTTTATTCAATATTTCAAAAATAAGGACTTGTAAATAATGGTTTTAACAGTAACAAATAAATTTTTTCTTTTAGCATTGTTGCATAGTAGCAACAAAATACAAAAATAATGCCCTTTAATAAAAATGCAATTTAAAAATTTTTCTTCAATATTTCAAAAATAAGGACTTGTAAATAATGGTTTTAAAAGTAAAACAAATAAAAATTTTCTTTTATGCATTGTTGTATAGTAAGAAAAGCAAAGAATTAAATTTTTTATTTGTTCAAAAGATTTCAATTGATTTTCTAATGAGTATTTAAACCATTGAAAGAAGATTAAAAGAAATAAGTCTTCCTTCAGGGTTGGCTAGTGATAAGAAAACTACAGTTTGTCTACAGTAAGAACTCCTAACTCCACAAAGTCTGAGGCCATTTGTTGCTATGGAAACAAGAATAGCAAATTTCAGGAAGGGTACTAATTTCTCTCTACGGCTAACTCAATATACGAAGAGAAAGATTCCCTTTCTCTCGTCTACCCAAACTAAAACCTGTCCTAAGCAATGACCCCACACCCTTACTTGAAATAGTTATACCTCGTTACCATAGTCACCGCCACGGGTCCAGACGAATGGCATGGGGAGTTCTTACTTTAGACAAACTATACTGATTTTGGTGAAAGAGATTGAAAAGTGTGAATCGAATTTGCTTGTGAAGATATTGAGTGACTGCTAGAAAAAAAATTTTGTAGTCTGATCTTCCCAAATTCAATTTATTTTATTCTGATGCATTGATTAAAGTTTAAAGTTAAAAAAAGGGGAAGTTTCTTGTCATGGTAAATTTAACTAAGTATTGAGTCCTCGGGTTAAATTTTGCAGAAATTTCACTGCTATGGCTTACGCTGCCATTGAATAACATGGGGGAAACCACGCAGGAAAGCTTGCTGCTAAAAGTTCAGAAAAAGCTATAACTAACGCACAGAGGATTAATGCAATAGTTTGTGTTGGAAAAGTACTTGTTTTGGGCAAGGCTTAGGTTAAGTTCAAAAATTTAATAGTTAATAAGTAAAAAGCTTAAGCAAAATGTATGCGAATTTATGATTTTAATCATACAATATGCCTTCTTCTTATTTCTATTTAGGGTGTCTTTTCAAAAAAGGGAGTAATGCCAATTATACAAATTGAAAGGCCTGTGGATAGTTTGAATAAGTATGAAAAACTTAATAAAACTAAATTTAAGAATGGAAAACTAAATTTAAAATAACTCTTACAATTTCTCAAGTCTGTTTGGTTTGTGCATCAATCTAAAATATGTTCTTTTGTCTTGTTTTTGTGAGTTTCAGCGCCAGTAAAGATTGTAAAGTATGTTTTCAAATTATGAAGAAAAAAAATGGAAAGTGCTTATTTTGAAAATTTTACACCGGAATTTCCTTCTGTTTAGTAAAAACTAAGATTTACATTGTATTTTTATATAATGTAGGAACTTGTGTTGTATCTTTATAAATTAATTTACCTTAGTACATTGCAATTTATTTTTCTCTTTCTATATTATAAAACTTAATCTTGGAAATATTTTATACATTATTTTGTTAGTTTTAGATTGAGTTTTTTTTTTATAATTATTGATCAATTGCTTGAAATTGAAATGAATGTTTATAATTTTTTTTTTTTAAATATAAAATATACAGGTTTTGAATTTTTTGTTTGAAAACATGTCTGATATGATGTATTATATTTTTCAGTTTTAAACAGAACTAAGAAAAATTTGGAAAGTCTATCTCTTAATAGGTATCTTTTATTTTATTATTCCATTTTCATTATTGAGATTGAATTGTTGATACTACTAAGCGTTAAATTTATATGTATGCGATTGTTGATTCTATTTTTATAACTATAAAAAGATCTTTTGTATGTATAAAGAACAATTTTTTCTTTATAAATACTTTCAAAGTTTCCTATTACTTTAAAAAGAAACAAAAATGTGTATATTGATAAAAACAAAAATTATAAATTTCAGTACTCCACATTTTGATGCTATTTGTAAATAAAAAAACTATATTTATTTTATTTTCCTTAAATGTTTTTTTGTTTTTTGGTGATATAATTTTGGATTTTTCATTTTTGAGAAACTAGTTAGTATTCATAGCTAATTATAAATATTTGTAGTCTAAAAAATTATATTAAGTTTTAATTTCCATTTATTTATTGAAACCTTATATCTTGGAAGTTTTTTTCATTTGTAAGTACTGACAAAAATTACATACTTTATCAGCAGAACCTCCTTTAGGCTGTAAGTGATTTCAGGGGATAATAAAATAAATCTTAAAACTACACTTGTTGTGAATGTGTAATGGTTAAAAAAATTTTTTTTTAAAATAAAAATCTGGAAGACAAAATTTTTTAATCTTTTATAACTTGAATTGATAGTTTTGCATTTTAAAATGTTTCTGCTATTGTTTGTATATCATTTTAAAAATAAATATTGAACTTAGTTTGAAGAATGGTTAAAAAAAATTTCTGCATTTTTTTAAAAAAATTATTTCTAACTTGAAGATGAAGGCCACATAAACCATTTAAGCGCCCCATCTGACTTTGGGCCGAGGGTTGTGCATTCATACTTTAAAGCCCTAAAGCTAAATGTGCTCAAAATTGAAACATATGTCTCACAACTAAGTATCCTCAAAAGAAAATATGTTTAGAGAAAAATTAATTTTCCATACTTATTTGTTTGCTGTTACTATGTATTTTGTTCTATTATGTTGTAATCCATAAATATATTTTGAAGTTAAACTAATTAATATTCCTTATTTTTCAATTTATATTTGCAATTAATCATCATTTAAAAGAAAAGAAATGGAAATAATTCAACTAGCAACCATTGTTTGGCGATACTCACAGAACATTTGTGATTATCAATAATCTTGTTGTAAAACATTAGAAACAATTCAGTTCCTAGGCTCTAAAGTTAAAGTGTTAAGGATTGGTATTTTGAAGTTACAAATTAAGTTAATATTGTAAAACACATGCATTAAAAATATTTATAGATATATATTTTTTAGAACAAATTTTATTTGCAGAAAATTTAGATGTAGAAATATACCACCAAGTAATTGTCAATTTCATATATTTTGAAATGAACATAAATAATGTTTTCATGATTAACAATTCATTTCAAAGTTTATTGCAGAAGTAATATGTTTTGAAAGGAATTGTTTTCTTTGATTGAATAGTAAGCATTTATGCATTAAGTAAAGGGTATATAAAATGTAGGGGGATTATTCTTTTATCTTGAAAAAAAAAAGAATAATGTAAATTGTAAATACCTATCTTATCAGAATCTTACTTTAATTATTTTTATTATTTTTGTTTGAAAAAGTTGTATTTTTTTTTAGTTCTTCACGAAATTGTTTGTTTTATTCATATTTATTTTGTTTTCTAGAAATGAATCAGCTTCTTCTGAGGACAATAGTGCTAATGAGAAATTCAAATTCTCAAAAGGTAAGCTTTCTTTAAATATGCATTATTTACTTTTTTTTATAATTAATTTTTAAAAAAAAAATATTTATTTAAGATAAGTTTCTTAAATTTGTGCTGTGTATTTCTCTTTGTGTTTAAATCTTGATTCTAAATTTAACAAATTCCCTTAATGAAGTTCATTTTTATATATTTTGCAAATTGAGTTCTAATAGATTTGTTGTGCATTTATTTTTGTGCACTTTTTTTAAAAAATAATCTTAACATAACTATATATTTTTTTATTATTATTTATTTATTTATTTTCTTTTAAATGTTTGGGTCCTAAATTACATACTTGTGTTTGAATATTTTCGTGTAACTGTTCTTTAATTCTGTACTTAGTAGTATTGTGAGAATTTCATAGTTTTATGAGTTTATAGTGATAATAACTTATAATTGTTGAGCAACAGCATGTTAAAATTTTTTTTATACTTAAAACAGTTATTTAGAATTAATATTTTATGGTAATTTCAAAATGACCAAAACCTGGATGTATACTATAATTTTTATATTCTAAAATTTCTAGTAAGTATTTTAATATAAATTGTTTTAAAAATTATCAATTAAAAAGAAATTAATTATCTGTAACTCATCATTTAGATTTTAAAAATATCTTAATTGTGTTGTTTCTCAGTGCTGAAGTAATGTATTTATTAATTTTTTTTATAAATTTGCATTCACAAAATGTCTTTCTTTTTTGTTTTAAAAAAGCTCTGATTTGTAAACTGTCTTTAAAAATTTATAATGACGATGCCTAATTTTTTCCTATACATTCATTCTGAAATACATAAATACATAGAATATTGTTTTATTCATGATATTAATAATAGTGTTTACAAATTAATATAATATTATCATTATAATAAACATAACAATAAGTATTAACTATATTTTAAATATATCTGTCTTTTTAATAATAAGTAGGCCTTAATGAATGCCTTGCACATTTGTTCATTTTCTCAGAACTTTTAAATGAAATTTTTTCTTGCTATAATATGTAACTCTGCCTGATAAACATGTAAAAGTTAGTTTATTTTTGTGAAAGCAAAATAAGTTTATTGATTGTTGTATGTTTAGACAGAGTATATTCATTTTATTGGAATATTATTGTGTATTTAATATTTTGAAAAGATTTTAAAGATGCTTAATTTTTCTTTTTCTAGTTTTAGAAGGAATTAAAAATAAGCTCCCTGAAAATTCTGAAGAGAGGTAAATATATCTTTGAATTCATGAATATTTTTTCTTCTTCAATTTTTGAATGTAACTCTTTATTAGTTTAAAATCAAATCTGAACATAATAGTTAAGTTTTATTTCTTATTTAAGTTTTTTGAGAATTTTTCTGTTTTTTACTGTTCTGTTTTTTTGTTTCTAGGAATGGGTCAGCTCTTTCTGCCGATAGTAATGCAGATACTGAATTTATGAAATGTAAGTATTACAAGTAAACATTAATTTATTTACTCACTTTTGAATTCATTTTCCTAATGCTTTAAATTTTTTTCCATATTTTTAATGTATTTACATTGTGATTAAAACGTAATTGAATTTGGACACTTTTTGGTTAGCCAGTAGCATGTGAAAAGTTTGCAAAAAAATTAGCTTCTTCGCCAACTTTTTTTTCCCACTGTTTTAATATTTTATTAAGTTTTTAGTTCCTGAACAAAATGAACATTAACAAAAAAATTAAGTAAAATAAAAAAGTAAAAAAAAAATAGTTGAATTTCTTAGCACCCGGCTAACCGAAAAATATCTAAATTTGTATAAAGTTTAAGCTTCATTAATCTATGAAATAATGATTTCTTTTGATCAAACTGTGTTTTCTGTTATATAGAATAGCACAGCTGTTTAAATTCTTACATATTTCAGATTTTATAACTTTGTGTGCATTCATAATACTGAATTCATGCATAATGAATATGTTTTTATGTTTTGTTTTAAGTTTGAATGAAATATAGTATTGAAAGTTTTTATGTAAAAAAATATTCTGAGTGCAAGTCGTTTTTTCATTCTTTTCTCAAATAAAAAAATGAAATGAATCTCAAATGATTTTAATTAATATTTAATCTTAAATTATTAACTCCAGAAAATAAAAGTGTAAACAAACAAATAACAATGTAACATATAGAACTGACAAAGAAAGGTATTGTTAGTATAAGATTCATGATTACAACTAGTATGTTAATTTTAGTATGGAGTCCCACAAAACGATGCATTGTTAAAAAATAATGGATTGTAAGATACTGAGTATGAGCAAGTTGTTAATATGATTGTAGGGCTTCTACAAGATAAAAAGAGGAGAAATGTGACTTGCTTGAGATAAAATTGATTGTTTGCTGAGTAAGACTCATAGGGAGTATTATTTATGAACTCATTGATTAAGAGGTGTTTCTTTCAATTCTTTTGCTAAAAGGATGACCATCTGATATCCTTTTAATGAAATGTATTCGCATACACTGTGCATTGCAACACAAAAAGTTAAAAAAATTTTGTAACAAAATTTTTTGGTTTAATTTGTAGAAAAAAAAATCAGAAACATAAGAGCTCAGTGTCATTAGAGTATTGCTAGTTTTGAATGTATGTTTGAAATGCTTATTTTCTTTAGTTTTAGGGGGAGTAAAAAGTGAGCTCTCTAAACTTCCTGAGGAAAGGTAATGTATCTCTTTATTTATAAATGTTTTTATTATTTTTGAATACAGCCAACTTTTTATTAATTTCACTTCATGGGGTAATTTAAAAACATTCAAATTAAGAGATCTATGAATTTGTTTCAAAAGACAAAATTTAAAAGGTTGAATTTGGTTGGTTGGTTCCAATGCCATTTGCTACACGGGCAAGCCTGCTAGGTGAAACAGAGCAAATTTAAGGCAGAGTGTGCGATTCTTGTTTTTCAGTGGCGGCATCTATGGCCAAGAATTCGACTTTGCCACATCGTACGCCATACCTGTTTATAAGGTGAACCCATTTATTCATCCACAGATCGTAATTTTGACCTGAATCAGAGAATGATCGATCTCCAATCCAGTACCCCCAGAGGTATTGATTTGTTATGGGAACATGGAGGACTTTTGCGACTCCACTGATTTAACTTGCATCTGTCACTTTACTACACGGGGAGTCTTCGGCCGGCGGGGTTCGAACCCATGAACTCGGACACGGGCCCAGCGCCCTACCGACCTGGCTATCCCGGCCTTTGAATTTGATTGTATATAAGAGAAGGTACTTAAAAATAAAACATATTGTTTAAGTGTGCTTAATTTTAATACTTGATTTAATGTTAAAAGGTAAATTTCTAAAACTCACAATAGATTTTTCATTAGTATATTACAATTAGACAGTTGAAAATGTTTTAAAAGGTATTTAATGAATTTTTTAAAATTTTCAACATAATTGTTTTTAAACACATTTGAAAGACGTGATAAAAATATATATATTTTTTAAAGGAAAAGCATTATATTAATGTGTAATATTTATAATCTTTCATATATTCATTTTTGCAAGCTTTTCATATGTTTTTTTGCTATCCATTTTGGAAATTAATAATGTCTTTCAGTGCTATTCGATTTCTCGGCACAGTAAAAAGTTGTCAAATTATTATTGATACCAGTGGTGCTTAATTAATTCATTGACTAGTACCAACCACAGTACCAGTAGTAGCTATTACCCCAAATATTTGAGCATAACTGACTTGAAGAATAGTTGGGTTATTTTTTTACAGACCTGTAAGCCCAATAGTGCAAAGTCCTGTACTTGTATATTTTGGCATTATGAATCATCTAGAGTCAAAGAATTAACTTGTTACCACTGTTAAAAATGTCATTATGTGTTACTATATCATTACAGTTCTAACATCACAGTATTATTGTTGTGCTAAAATGCAAATAGTGCATACAAATTAGTGCATTAGGAGGTCAGTTGATCACTTGGTGTGGATGTCAAAAAAATAAGATTTTTTTAAATTCTTTAGTATTTAGGTTGTCTATCTATAATAATTTTCAATGTATCTTGAGTAAAGTCATTCTTTTTCAACCTTTATTGCAATTTTAAATTATCCATTTTTTTTTTGTTGGCAATAGCCGTTATTGGTTCATACTTGTCTGGAGTACTGTATGTATACTAAGTCCACATATTTATATATCTATTTAAAATTTTGGGAAAAAGTATTTTTACTTTTTCATGAAGAAATTTGTATATAATATTTTAAATTACTGGTAGGAAATAACTATAAATTTTTTTCCTATCTAATTACACAAATAAATCTTTTTCTTTTTAAGTGGAAGTTAAAATTTTTGTTTATATTTTTAACAGAGCAAAATCTGCTTCGTCTCTCTTGAAGAAAAATTCAGCCGCATGTGAAATTCAACAATCGCAAAGCACAACATCAGAAGTTCAAGGTAATTATAGTGTTTAAAAATAATTCTTTTAAAATTTTTTATTTACTATTAGGGAAGCTTTTTATTTACTATGATTTGCTTCCCATTATATTTAAAAAATTTCCAGTATTCCAAAGAGATCAAATTTTTAAGTTATTTTCAAACCCATTAATGAATTTTTTTTTTTAAATCAGAAATTCTCAATCTTTAAAAATAAAGCAGCAATTCTATTCTTTTTAAATGATTGTAAGTTATCATATACTAGACGAACCAAAAAGTTCTAATAAAGATGGTTAATGAATTTTCTAGATGCGTCTAATGTGACCAGAGGTCTTGCTTTTTGTTTCACTGTCTCGTCCTGCTTTTCCATTGAAGTTTTGCTCAACAAACAAAAATAAACTAATTTTTTCCAACACTTTAGGAGCAGTTTCATTGCTATCTAAATTTTTAATCTTTTATTAATTATTGTGTTATTTCTAAATTTAAAAACAATTGCAATGATTATGTAAAATATATAAATTGGAAGAAAGTAGGTTTCTTACATATAATTTGATATTCTCGTGTGAAAACTTACATTTTTCTGTAGTGTCAAAACTTACAAAAAAATTGGAATTTCCACTCTGACTCTCATCAATGATTTGTCCTGACTGTTAGTTTTAAAAATGTGGTCATATTAGATGTGTATATCTAATCAAGAAGTGATAAATCTTCAATTGCTAAAGATTTTTGTAACTCACTTTTAAATAACAAGTTATATTCAATGTTTATTGTAATTCTGAGCTTGTTTTTTTAGAAAATTTGACAATTTTTATGAGTAGTGATAGTTTTGTAATTGTTCTAATGATTTTCTTTCTCCTAAATTGCATCATCTTCTCCCTTTTGCTCTATTTGAAATTATTTGTAATTAAAATTGTAAGTAGTTTTTCTCTAAAGCTTTTTGAAGATTAAATCAGATTTTTATTTCTCTAAATCTGATTTTAAAGAGAATAAATAATGTATGTATTTGATTTTTATTCTAGAGTTTATTTTGTATGAAAAAGAAAGAAAAAAATTAATTCATTTTAAAATTAAAAGGCTTTTGAATGAAAGTTTCAAATGAATAACAACAAAAAAAAAAAGAAAAAAAGAAAGAAAGTAAATAAAGAAAAAAAAGATCGTGAATAATATAGTTTTTTCTCTAAATCTTATCAGAGTTCACTTTTTTTGAAAAATCTTTTTGTATTAATTTCTTTTAAGTATGTTTCTAGTTTTACATTTTTATCTAATGGGATAAAATATCTCATCTTTGTCAATTTTTATATTAATTCTAAATCAATGTCATCTATGCTTTTGTTTGTTGATAAGTCACTTATGTTAAGTCAATTTGTGCTAATGCCTAAAAATATTTTATTTTAGATACATCGAATAATCATTGTATTGATGAAAAAAGAGCTTCTAGTCTTCATATGCTGCAGAAAATAGAAAATAAATTGAGAAATAACTTTGTCGAAAAGCGTGTTGTTGGTGCTAAGAAACTGTATAAAGTCTTCAATGAAAACATTTTTGATTCAAAAGTAATGCTCCATTGATTTTTAAACGTTATATTTCTTTATTATATTTCTATATCTTCTAATTTAATAATTTTTTTAAAATTTTTTATTTGTTCGTTTCGGCAATACTCAATTTTTGGTTAATTAGTATTTTCTATTTTTAAATATCTCAGTGTAAAATGAATAATTACTGCCTAATAATTTTATTTGTTTTTCCTCATTCTATAGTTAAAAAAATCTTATAAATTTATTTAAAATTAATATTAAGGAAACTACAGTTTTCTAGTTATTTCTCAATTTATTTTTTAATTAGCTTATGATATATCACTTTTTTTCTTTCAATTTAGAGACAAACGTTTATTTTTTTTTCCCATAAAAGAACTCATTTATTTGTTCAGAAATTAAATTTAAAGCAAAAGCTTCTGATTAAATATATTTTAATCTTTATATGCATTTACATATATGGAAGCTTTTCTTTTTTTTGATGTTCAGAAAAAAAAAAATTATGTATAAAATAGAAAACTAGAAAATAACCTTTTTTTGCCAAATACAATTCAATGGGACTTTTGATTTTCACATTTCACATGTTCACATTTCTGTAGAATTTAAAATGCTTTGTTTAAATTCTAAATTCTCAAAAAATTGAGATAAACAATTTAATGAATCATTTCTTAAAACCCTCTTACAAAAGAGATGACTATACTTGAAGACAAAATTGCCTCGAACTATCTATTCCTAAAGAAGTAAGCGTGCAAGATGTATGTATACAGTATACATAATATCTTCTCATAAATTAAGAAAGATTGTGCTAGTTTAATGAATCTAAAAGAAACTGATATTTATGAGGAAGACAAAACATTGTAGACATTGTATACATTGTAGACAAAAAGTATTTTAGTATGTGACGATAAGGAAAAATCAAGAATATTAAAGAAGGTTAAAGCAACTATAGACATACCACAAAAGGAAGATGAAGAGAAGATGACTTGAAGCAAAATGTAAAATAAAATGAAAAAGCAAATATATTGATAAATGCTTTTTGATGTTAATACATGTTATAAAATTTTTAATGTGTCAGTAAAAATATTATTTTATTTAAATTCTTAAAAAACTATTCGATTTTTATTATTCCTAACTTCTCATATCACAAAAATTTTAGTATCTTTCTTCAAGTTTATAATAACATGACTTAACTGTAATTACGCTATATATTACTTTACTATTTATACTAATTTACTGTATAAAGGCCACTAAATAATCAAAAAAACTTTTTTATTGGGAAAATAAATATTGTGAGAAATAAATGAGAAAGTAAGCAACAAATACAAAATAAGTTTTATTAGAAGATAATTTTTAAATTTTACTCAAATCTAAAAAGTACTTTTTGTTTAAGAAATTTGAGTATGATGTATTTTTTTTATTACATTTTCTTTACATAGCTCCCTGAAGATATGGAATTAGAGTGGTCAGTTGATTTGCGAACTACTGCTGGAAAAACTCAAGGAATTAAAAAAGGAGGTTGCTTTATTAGATGCAAAATTATTTTAGCCTCTAAAGTTCTGACATCATTTGGTAATTCTTTATTCGAAAAATAGTTTATTTTAGTATAATATTTTATTTATATACATTTTTAATTACCAGTATTGTTTATAGTTTTTCTTTTTAATAATAGCTCATTTTTATTTTTTTAAAGAAAAGTTTGATTTAGAGGGTACAGTTATGATTGTAAGTTAGGTAGTTCTAATTTAAATTTAAAAATCCATATTTATAAAATATATCTTAATATATCTTCCTCCCTCCAACTATAAAAGAAATACTCATTAATGGTCTATTGTTTCAAGAACAGTGAAACCTTAAGGCAACTTTATTTTGATTTAGTAGTAAAATTACTATAAATATGTTATATTTTTGAATTTTTTATTTTTTTTGGCTTCGGTCATCTAAAAATTAATACTTCTGTTAACATTTTAAAAGTTTATATTTTTCACGACTGTAAAAATTTCAGTTAGACTAGTATCTTTAGAACTGAAATTTCACGCTCTGACTTAACATTATTATTACTAGATTACATTATTACTAGATAAACTATTAAATAGTGTTCACTAGCACTGGGCGATGTTAAGATTTTGGCATTCCGATGTATCCTTGCAAATATTTTACATTTGGTTCTGTGTAATTTCGAATTGTTGCACTTTTTGATTGATAAAATGAAGCAATTATATTTTTGTAATAAACTCAATCTGCAGCTGCTATAGGTTCGTCTAGTTATCAACAATAAATTGTATATTTTTTAAAATAAAAATCAATAAATCACAAAAGTGACATGACTGCCAATGTTCTACTATGCCTATAGAAAATTTTAAAGAAGAAAACAATGAAAATAATAATGACGACTGAAACTGACGCTGTCAGGGGGTACCAGCCTGGAAGTCATGAAAACGCAAAGCCTTTTCTATCGAGAGAGCACAACAAATGTCTAAAATTTGCTCTCTCTGTGCCCCAATGGTTTTGCAAAAAGTCCAGAAAGAGAGAAAAAAAAAGAATGCAAAATACAAAAGTAAAATATGTAAACTAATTACAAAAGGAAAACAATGTTAAAAAAACCTACTTTGTGTTTTTATGACTTCTGGGGCTGGTACCCCCTGACGACGTCAGCTTCGGTTGTCATTATTATTTTCATTGTTTTCTTCTTTAAAATTTTCTATTGTTTTAAATTTTCTTATGGAATTTCTGCTGCATTGCGCAACTTTCCTTTGGAATTGTAGTATTTAACTGCTTTATAATTGATTTTTGATTTCTCTTTTCATACTATGCCAGTAATTATAAATATAAAAATCAAAATTTAAATGCACATTGAGATCATTTATAAAAATCTTCATAAACAGGTAAATTAAAATTTTGATGAATTGAGAGAGATTGAAAACTCAGGAAAAGCTGACTCTAAAATGCACGTAGTTCTCCCAGTCACCCTCTCCTCATCTTAAATTTAGCTCATTACTATCAATAATGAAAAAGAAAAAAGTTCTTCGCTCGAGCTTGCGGTCATCAATTTCTTGGCTGGGAGAAGTGCTTGCGATAAGCCATGATGAAACCATTGTTCTATTATCGGAAATAATGCTCATCAGCTCGCATGTGGACTTCGATGTCAACTATGCATCGGGAAATTATCTCGGTAAATTGAATCGATGCATTGTAAAACAGCCAATCCAAACATCGGATCGGCAATGATCAAATATCGATATTTTATGATGCATCGCCCAGTACTAGTGTCCACAATTTGATTTTTTTCTTATTTTAGTGACCTTGCATTTTTTATTTTTTTCAGAGAGATTGAGAGACACTCTACTGCATGAAATGTGCCATGCTGCAGTGTTTTTAATTAGTCAAGTTCCTGGAGAGAACCATGGTCCTTTATGGAAAGCATGGTATTATATTAATTTATTCATTATGAAATTTATAAATAAATTTGTTGTTATTTATAGTGTAATGGAAACATCAGTAGTAGCATTTTATGCTGATAGCTGGAAGTCAGTTATGTTTCAAGTTGGATATCATATGTTGAATGCGTAGGATATAACCTTAACCGTCGAACATTTGGTCACACTCATCAATTTCTTTTATGTAATAAATGTTTGAAGTCTTTAAATTACATACATTACTAACTAAATGGAGCACAAAACTCCTTTTCTTCCAAGAAAAGAATAGCAGTCTATTCTAGATTTTTTTTAAAAAATTTGCTTCATATTTTGGTGTTAACGGAAATGAAATGAAATTTATCTTGTAACATATTATTGTTATGATTAGATTGCGGTTAAATATTTTTAACTGTTAAGATTTTTTAAAGGATTTTAAATACTTTAAAAAATTGCCTTTTATAAATAACTTTTAAAATAATTAATCTTTGATCTGAATATTCAATGTTTTTTATTTTGATATTCACCCTTGATAGGTAAATACATGTCCCAAGACTCTATGGTACCTTAGTGATCTTTCCTTTTTTATTTTTGTCTTTCATATATTTGTATAAGACTTAGTTAAGCACTATATAATTTCGTTGCTACTTTTTTCAACTGACTAATCTTACATATCATATTTAAACAGTTTTACATAATAAAATATATGCAAGTTGTGAAGGAAATGTGTATTATTAATATTTTCTTCTTATATTGCTGATTACTTAATTACTATGTAAACATTAATCATTTGTAATAACTCAAATTTTAATCCTGTCATTTTGTGGTTTGAGATAATGCAAACGTATGTAAAATGTATTTATGCAAATTAATAGAAGAAAATTAAAGTGTATCATTTCTGTCAGGGCTGTAAGATGCAGTTTGGTGTTTCCTTATATTGAAATGCCCCAACGTTGTCACAGTTATGATCTCTCATATCCTTACTATTACCAGTGTAAAAATTGCGAATGGAAGTGAGTAATATTTCTCTTTAATTTATTTTGCTCTTAATTGATAAGACATTGAAAGTAATTGTTTTGTTTTTTAAAGAGTCTTTTTACTTTATTCATAAATATTTAAAATTTCATAAATGTTTATTGATTATAATTAATAAATAATTGAATTATGTGTTACAGATTTAAATATGTGAATGTAAAATAAAAATTTTCTTCTCTCAAGAATAGGTCAATAGTCTAAGAGGCACAAAGTTTATGATATTTTGTAAACAAAATTAAGTTCACAAAAAGTCTAATACTTTGTATAACAAAATAATTGTTCCCGTGAAATAAAATCAAATTTTTCATAAATCTTTTGCTATTATCTACCATTTTTTATGAAATAAATGATCAAAAGTTTTGTAAATTTAGGTTTGGTTGGTCCATCATAAGGATTTAAATGTAAGGGCTTTATTTTTTGAAATAGAAACTATTGCTTATTTAAAAAGACTGTTTTGAAGGTCACTATATAGTTTCTATCGTAAATAATAATTTTATTTGTGGAGCAAAAAATCCTGATTTTTTTTCTTCATATATTTATCAGAGCTTTAAAAATATATTGGTAGCCATAGCCAAGGGAAATAATTCTAAACTGACAGGTATTTTTACCCTTGCATGCACAGGACGTGCAAAAATTCTTATCTAGTATATATTTTTACTCTTTCTTGCCCAGAGCATGTAAAAATTCTTATTGAGCATGTATAATTTTATTCTTACATGCCTGACCTGACATGTTAATTAATATTCATTCAGAAATACTAACATCATTTTAACGAAAATTGCCTAGAGGGCATGTGGTGCAAATAGATGTCATCAAAGGAGGAAAAAAGGAAATTTGATAATGCTTGATAAGACCTTATAATTATTTAATTTAATTTTATAACTGAGAATTTAAGCAAAATTGACTTATTCTTTTTATTTACCTAGTTAGGCTTGTTTTCAATTAAATAAGCTCACCCCAATTTCTATGCATAAGTAAAAAATTAAGATAATAAAGTTTATAGTATTATTTAAAAGTAACGCATTATGATTTTGATAATATTACTTCTTTGTTAACACCAATGCTCTGCATTTTAATCCATCAATGTTTATTTGTATTTTTCTTCCTTATTAATAATGTCTTATACTTTGTTAACAACTCTTATTGCTTCTGATTTATACTTAAATTAAAAGTGTTGATGTAGACATGCTAATGTTATTTTTTTTCCGAAAGAATAATTATTGGTACATTCATATGTTTTTATTATTTAATTAATTGAGGAAGATGCTTATGTAAAACATTTTATCGAGCTAACGTAAAAATTTTGAGATTTTTTTGCAATCAATTGATTTTTTGGTGAGTTTTTTGATCTCTGGTATTTATGATGTTAAATTAATATAAATAGTGCATGTCCATAAAATGATTCCTTGCATTTTGAACAGTTAGTTGTTTCCATTTTCATGTAATCTGAGAACTATTTTTTAATATTTTATTTTGCTTCTATATTTCTTGTTAACTTGCAGATGTGGTAGGCATCGAAAATCAACAAAATTATCTGAAGCTTGCTGTCCTAAGTGCAGAAGTTCACTGTCTTTAGTTAAATCGTAGTATTTATTCATTTGTGTAAGCTTATTTATTTCATGTATTGTCATACTATGTATTCGTTCTTAAGTAACTTATTTTTATAATAAATTATTTTATTTATTTTTCTAATAATTTATTTTGGAAAATTATTTCTTGTATAATTATTTAAATTTTTCTTATGTCTCTAAGACTCAGAGTTTGTTTTGAAAGCACAATAATTTCATTTTGAATATATTTTAGCCACAATATCTTATTAATCTCTTATAATTTCATTACTTTTGTTTGTTATCTATTCATTCACCATTTTTTTTATGATTTATTGATATTTAACAGTTATTTCTGATAATCAGTATTTACTAATCTGAAATTTATTCAAATTATTTGCTTGCCTTCATTTTTTAGCTAATAGTATACTGTTGGTTTCAGATCGAAAATTTCAACCATGACTATAAAGGTCATTTAAATTTTATATAAACCATTTTATAAAAAACTTCATTAAGACTATAATAAATTTCCTTACTATTTTTTGCTATTCATAGTTATTTTTCGAATTTTTTTCTAATATTATTGAATAGATTTTAAATATATTTAAAGAAATAGAGACTCATTTTTTTCTTGATTTTTTTTTTTTAAAATTGAGATTGAGTTTTAGGCTGTGCTTCAAAAAAATTATACTCTGCATAGTTCTGGCTCTAAATATAGACTCAACAAGGCAATAAAGCATATAAATTGTCTTAAGAGTGCTTTAATAACATAAGAAAAAATTATTATGTTAAAATATTGACTTATAGTAGGAACTTTTAAATATTGTAAATAAATGCAAAACTCTATCTAGTAAAAATTTTGTCAAACTTCTAAGAAGAGTGCTAAAATTAGTATCCTTTTAAGAAGTATTTAGCGTTTTGCAGAGCAGAATAACTTGAACAAAAGAGCCATAAGAATTGTAGTCATCACATACACCTATAAATAGAAATTCTACATGAAGCAATCTGCTTTATCTTAACATTTTTAAAAATTTAAAATATTTCTTGCTTAAGAAATAAAAACTACCTCAATTTTAGTGGCTTATAGTATTGTTTAAAAATATGTAAGACAGATAATAATATCCAATAATAGTATCCAAATTCTCCTGAAAGGGATTAGAATTTTTAATCGTGTTAAACAGTGATTAAGGCTATAGAATTATGTATTATCTCTTCAACATATTCCTTAAAATGTTTACTGCAAGTTTTATTACAAAGAAATCGAATTAAGTAATTACCATTTCCAGCATTCTAATTAAACAAGCAAATAAAATGTGATCTTTAATAAACAGATTAGCTGTAAATATATTAAGCTTTCATAAGTAGAAAACTAATGAAGTTATAATTATTTGATGATATTCCTTTAAATATATGGATTTAAATCTGCGATATCATTTATTTATATTTGTTATTTTTCATTATTTGATAAATCGACCCTGCTTTACAAGATTATAAATGTTATCTTTTTGTGATCATATTTCCTAATGAATTAGAGGTTTGTCATTTAGCACTTATTAAAAATGGAAATTTTCAGCAATGGTCAGATTAACTGATTATAATAAAAATTCTTCGCAGTTCTTTAATTAAGTCTTAATAACTATTTTATGCACAAAATCATAAAAGCTGTATTTAATATAACCTATTTCGTATGAGAAATAATCAAATTACTGTTTTATACTTACTAAATATATTATGAACATTATGTAAGGGACAGGGATTCTGCTCTCTATTTGGTTTTAATTTTATCCCAGTAGAATCAGGAACTAAATGTGCAAAACTAAATCTGTATCAATATAATTAAAAATTATGGGATCTTTTAATTTAATAAGTGGCTAAGGTGTAGAGTGGGGGATCACTTATTTTGAGATAATTTTTGTTCAGGTGTGCTGAAATCCTGTTTCTAACAATTATTTTTTTTTGCTGTCTTAACTTTCATTGATGTCATCATCAGGTTACCGCAACTATTGTTTATTGTTATGCGATTGGTTCTTGGTTTATTTTCATTTATATTCGTTATTTTAAAATCGCCAAATATAAGAGGGGTCTCTGATTGTAAACTGTTACCGAATACTGATTATAAATAAATCATGGAGGTTGAAGAGAGAAGCTCCTTGTTGTTAAATCGGTACATAAGATAAAAAAAAACTAAATTCGTTTAATGAAATATGATACACCTTTTGTATTTAGAAGAAATTCCCCTTTTTTATTTTTTTAAAATATAGTGTACTTAGTAATAATAATTAGTGGTTATATTATGAAAAATATTTTTATTAACATTTGAAAAAGATCAACCATATACTCAATGAGTATTCATTTGTAAGAGTTCATTTCCCCAGGTTTACATTAAGCTATTGATCCGGATCAAGATTTCATGATTTTGTCAATCCATGGTCTGTAAGAGGATATTCTCATGTAGACACCAGGCAAATTCGGATCAGCACATCGGATACCATGGGATACAGTACCTGCTAATACCCATTGACCACTTTCCCTTTCCACCATGAGTGGTCCTCCAGAGTCACCCTGTAAAATTAAAATTTAATTTTCGAGGAAGAATTAAAATGTATTCTGCATATAGTTATTGGCTTTAAATTAACTGAATTTATAAAACTATTATAATAACAGGAAACAAGTTTGGATTTATTTTCAGAAAATTGATTATATAACAATAAAATAGCCCTTTCAACCAAATAACTTTAAATGTTTTCTGTTTGTGAAAAATTGAAATCATTTTTTATTTATCGGAAAAATATTGATTATATAATTTATGTATTTTAAGTCATATTAAGCTGATTTATTTAATAATCAATATAATATATTTTAAAGAGATTAAAATAAATGTCTGATTTTGATACAAGTTATTATTATTTAAAAATTCTTGTAATTTTCTTTGAAAAAATTGTAATTCTATGTAAATTATGAATTTTAATGTAACTTAATCGTAATTTATTAATTTAAGAAAAAAAAATAGTATGCAAAAATTTACATTTTCGATAAGAGTACTCTTTAATAAAAACATAGTTTTAGTAATCTTCAATAGCTATGAAATTTCAATGGAAACTAGTTAAAACTAAATTCCTTTGGGTTATATTAAATAACATTTCATAATTTCTATTTCAAGAATATGACATAGTTTATTTTAACAATGTGCCATGATGGAGCATTTTCTCTATTCATTTGTTTGATATAATAAAGATAATATCAATTTGATCAAAAATTATAAGACATATGAATAATATTTTAAAATTAAAAAAAAGTTATTTAAATGAGATATTTGCAATAGTTTATTAAAATTAGTCATAAAGTTTATTAAAATTAGTTTGAAAACAGTTATATAATTTCTTATCCTAATTTATGTAATTTTTTCAGTTAATATTTGGTTAGCAGGCAGGAAGATAATGCATTGAGCATTCAAATGCCACACTGTGTCCTCATGATGGGCTTTCTTTATCAAATGTACATATTTCGGTTTAAATTTTTATTTTATTTTAACGGCAGGCACTGAACTTTAGTTCATTTACCTTGGAAGATGCCGGAAGTGTTGATCTTTAACATTACTCGGTGATTGCCCGTGAACCTTAGTTACGTAGACAAGCAAGCACAATAATTTTACTTTNCTGTAAGAGGATATTCTCATGTAGACACCAGGCAAATTCGGATCGGCACATCGGATACCATGGGATACAGTACCTGCTAATACCCATTGACCACTTTCTCTTTCCACCATGAGTGGTCCTCCAGAGTCACCCTGTAAAATTAAAATTTAATTCTCAAGGAAGAATTAAAATGTATTCTGTGTATAATTATTGGCTTTAAGTTAACTGAAATTTTCAAACTATTATAATAACGGGAAACAAGGTTGGATTTATTTTCCGAAAATTAATTATATAACAATAAAATAGCCCTTTCAACCAAATAACTTTAAATGTTTTCTGTTTGTGAAAAATTTAAATCATTTTTTATTTATCGGAAAAATATTGATTATATAATTTATGTATTTTAAGCTGATATATTTAATAATCAATATAATATATTTTAAAGAGATTAAAATATATGTCTGAAAAGTTTTTGTTTAAATTTGATTTTTGATACAAGTTATTATTATTTAGAAATTCTTGTAGTTTTCTTAGAAAAAATTGTAAATCTATGTAAATTATGAATTCTAATGTAACAAAATTTCAATTAATTAACTTAAGAAAAAAAAAATAGTATGCAAAAATTTAAAATTTTCGATAAGAGTACTCTTTAATAAGAACATAGTTTTAGTAATCTTCAAAAGCTATGAAATTTCAATGGAAACTAGTTAAAACTAAATTTCTTTGGGTTATATTAAATAACATTTCATAACTTCTATTTCAAGAATATGACATAGTTTATTTTAACAATGTGCTATGATGGAGTATTGTCTCTATAATATCAATTTGCTCAAAAATTATAAGACATATAAATAATATATTAAAATTAAAAGAAAGTTATTTAAATGAGATATTTAGTTAGTTATTGCAATAGTTCATTAAAATTAATCATAAAGTTTATTAAAATTAGTTTGAAAACAATTATATAATTTCTTATCCTAATTTATGTAATTTTTTTCAGTTAATATTTGGTTAGCAGGCAGGAAGACAATGCATTGAGCATTCAAATGCCACATTGTGTCCTCATGCTGGGCTTTCTTTATCAAATGTATATATTTAGGTTTAAAAAAATTTTTTTTTAACGGCAGTCACTGAACTCTAGTTCATTTACCTTGGAAGATGCCGGAAGTGTTGCTCTTTAACATTACCCGGTGAGCACCCGTGCACCTTAGTTACATAAACAAGCAACATTACCCACACCACACAGCAACATATATCTGTTGTTTCCAATCCCAGCTGGGATAGCGGAGCTATACCAGATCCATGAGGCCGTGAGTCTTCAAAAAATCGAGGAAAAGGAGAGGTCTCTCAAGAACCTTTTCCATGGTGAAATCCAGACAATCAAGTACATGGTGAGGACTAGCCTTGCTGGAGTTGCAATTTTTACAAGTTGGAGAAAGTTTAATTTGTTCACTGAAAGTGAGGCTCTTAGTGTGCCCACTGACAAATCTACAGGTAGCGGTTTGGTCGGCATGTGTACCCTGAATGTCAAGGGCTCCTCCAGGACGCTTTAGGGGATACCAGTTGTGATCCGGTGGAGCAAGCCAAGCTTTATTAACTTTAGATTTGCAGATAGAAAATAATTCAGAGTAAGTGAGGGCCATGTTTGAAGAAGCTGGGAGGGAAGTACCTTCTTTTGCCAACTGATCAGCACGTTCGCTGCCAAAAAGACCCACATGTGAGGGTATCCACTGAATATGGATGTCATGGGAGGCTGAGAGGGCATTTAATAAACGAAGCATAGAGACACTAGCCCGGTCCGTTAATCTCTCCCAATTGCTCAGGTGCACAGATACCTGTTCATAGGGTGGGCCGCATTCACACATCACCTAATAGAGGCCAACACAGAGAGAAACAACCATGCCCTGAGTGGGATTCAAACCCCGCAACCATTAGCTTTGCAGTCAGGTACGCTAATTGCTCACCCACTTTGCCGAGCGGTTAAAGTTTTTTATAGCTGAAATGGTTCAAAAATTTACTTACTTCACATGAATCTTTTCCGCCTGTTTTGTAACCTGCACATAAGAAAGAATCCTTTATCAGTTTGTTATGTCCCGCATCTTTAAACATATCTACACATTGTAAGTTACTCATGATTGGCACCTGAACCTCTTGCAACAAATTCGGAATAATTCCACCTTAAAAAAAGTAACAATTCTTTATTGTTATGACTCACATAAAAACAGAATGACTCAAAATTACTTTTAATATGTGGGTGCAAGATAGCAACCAAATAAGATAAGTTTTCTCGCATGCATCATGTGCAAAAATCAAATTTTTTTGTAAATATGTTGGAGGGATTTCTACTTCTATATGAATGTATTAATTTCTTAGCTTGCAAACATTTCGAGCATAAACCTATGTGTTTCAGAATAAGACTGATCACAATAATTGAAATTTTTTGACAGTTTTTTTGGATCGGGGGGCGAAAATCTCCCCAAATCAGAGAATTATTTGTTTAAACTTGTTATATGTAAACATCAACAATTTTAAAGTAAAACACTCACATGTCTGTATTTCACTTCTCAGAGAAACTAAAGGAAGGAATAAAACATAAAACAAAAACAAAAAAATGTAGATCTTTGTAACTCATTATTAGTATTATGAGAGATTGGATCAGCAGGTATACAGAATCCTTTTTTTGTACTCATCAACTCTGGATAATGAATTAAATTTCTGTGTGATGGTTTAGGTTTACAAATTTTATGGAATCTTATTCTTATTTTGAATTTTTACCACAGAAAAGAAAAGGGAAATTCTCTGGATAATGAATTAAATTTCTGTGTGATGGTTTAGGTTTACAAATTTTATGGAATCTTATTCTTATTTTGAGTAATTTTGAATTTTTTGCCAAAGAAAAGAAAAGGGAAATTCATGTGTCTCACTCACCATGAGATGTTTTACCCCAACCAGTGACAAAAGCTGTCTTCCCTTCAAAATCTTCATCAGTGCTGGGCAGACAGATGGGTGATATATGTGGACGAAAAACGACGGGAGGATCCAATTCCAATAGAGCAATGTCATTGTCAAAATTTTGAGGGTTGTAATGTCTGTGGACAATCATCCTCTTGACCCGTCTCATTTCAGGTTTCAGCCTCTCGTGGTCAGTCAATAAATCATGCTCTCCCAAAATCACTACCAGTGAAGATAGAAATCTTCTGCTACAAGCAAATCAGCAAGATTAAAACACCTATGCACAGTGCACAAATTAAAAAGCAGCTTATATCTAATGGTTTAGTTATGTACCAACATCCAATCTTAATGATTCGAGGAGATAACATATAATGCGCTAATTAGTGAAGGCAATAATTTAGCGACAAAGTGAGACAGAAAGATATACTTTCACGAAATAAATTGTATTTTTTCTTCTATTTTAAAGATTTCTGACGATATCTATAAAATATTAGTGAGCCGCGATGGCTCAGGAGATAGAGCGTTCGCCTTCCAATGAGGTGAACTGGGTCTTCTGGATTGGGTTCAAAATTACAAGGCTATGGAGTTGAACATAAGTAGTCGTAAACCCGAAAAGTGGGTCCGTTGTTCAACGATGGTAATAAAATAAAATATTAGTAATTCAGTTTCAATTAGAGAAAACACTTTCTGTTGAGAAATTTTCAAATTGTGATAGTTTTTTTAAAAAAAATTCAAATGGTTATTTACAAATTCGACTTTTTGAAACGGCATTAATATTCCACTTTAGATTAATTACATGCTTTTATGACGGATTAAAGTTGTAAGTTCTGTAAATACCATAAAATAAAACTTGTTTCATAAAAAAAAAGCAAAAAAAAAACTAGTGTTTAACTAAATGGTTTGTCCATTGATTTGGTCAATGGTGCATACGTGCACCATTTTATTTCTTAAATAAAGTATTATTTATCATACACAAAGCTTTTTTGTGTAATTTAATCATATTTCAATGAAAATAATGCCACATTTTTTTAAAAAAATTTCTATGTTTTGCCAGGACCAGTGTTTTTTATGAAATTTTTGTAACGTTTATATTTTAAAATTGACATAACTTATTTCTGTTTTTTTTCTTTGCTTGTTTAAGTTTTCCTTATCCTCTCGAACAAATAAACAATGAGATACTACGCAACACTATTAAAGTGTTCTCTTGCATCTGATAAAAAAAATTAATTGAACAGGTGGTAGAATCAATTTATGAATAATTTTACTGTAGGGCTTGAGTTTAAATTCTCCCTTTAACAGTACAAATGACATTTTAATAGTACTTTAAATTAAATGGATATTATACAAGGATATTAACAAATAATGAGAAAACGAATTATTGGTTTTTTCCATCCCTAATTTGTATTCATAATTATAGAACCAACCCTGGCTGGCAGTGTCCTGCTGTAATTGCGTACTTGCTTGATACAAGGACTCCTCCACATTTGTTCTTTTGATAAAGACCTAGCCATGCTGCTTCTTTTACCAACACCTGAAAAAAAGAATAGAATAATCTTTTTANGATGTCTCCAAGTGCTGAGATATAAAATACTTCTTCTCAAAATTTACTGACTTCTCGCATGCCTTACAAAACAGAATGCTCCCATCAGTAGAAAACACATCCGACCCAAATTCTTTCACAAAACTGTCCAGTTTTTTGCTTGTGCAGGCTTTTACTTTAGGCATTTTAGAAATAACTAGTATACTAGAAAACTTTTTCGTGCTCCTGCTACAATGTGCTCAACCAGCTTGGTGAATTCGTTTTGTAGATAAGAGAGCATACGAGTTATTCGATGGTGTAGGCTATATGGGCCGTAAGTAAGAATAAATTCTATTGACTGTAAGTAAAAATAACTCCAATCTTTTCACTCCCTTTCTCTCTCTCCTTGCAAAGCGCATCGGGCGAAGGTGACGCCACGACGAAGGTGACGCCACGAAGAGACGGAGAGAAAATATTAATAAGACAAAAGGAATAAAGTCCTAATCTCTATAAATGCATTACAATACGTCGGATGACAGTCAACCATTTCTGTACTTCAAAATTTCTTCATTTTGCGTTTATGCTCGGTCAAAAGCACAAAAAGCTTTGCAGAAAAATTTTAAATTAGACAGAAATAGGCATTTATGAACAAAAGGAAAGAAAAAGGCATTTTCAGAAGAAAACGTTTAAAAAAGGCAGAAAAGGGCATTTATGGCATTTTGCCTGAACTTCCGGGCTCTATTTATGATATTTCATTAACGATTATAAAGCACACACCAGGTGAAATTGTAACTTTATTTGTCGAAATATGTTCAAAATTGATATTAGCGAAAATTTCTACTTGTCCATAATATGGCGTTTAACTCCGTCTGAAAATGATGGAAAAATGTGATGTCATCAAACCAAAAATTGCAGTTGAAATTTTAGTGCTTTATTTAATATTTAAGGCGTTGTAGTTTTGATTCTGATAATGTCACTGCAATTTTGTTTGTAGTTGTCAAGAAACGATTGAAAATCTCATTGACATCGAGTATGCAGTTGTAGCTGAGATTTGAATGCTCTAGCTAGTCGAATATTTGCTGCTCGCAAGATTGTCTCATTACAATCAAGAAAGCGAATTTATAAAAACTTAGTTTATATGCTTTACCTTTTCTGTAGTCAAGGTGGGGTCGCCTTGTTGTGACTCCGTTTGTTGATGGTGTGACATTATGGGATGTATAAAATAAGGGCCTGATTGTTCCTCTTGGAGAAGAAAGCTGTACTGGACGGTTGAAATTTCGTTGAGTTGTAGTTGATTGAGTTGATGATTGTGTCGACCACTGCGGTATAGGCACAACTACAGTAGTCAATGATACAGCATTATTGGTTGTTGCATTATTGGCTGACTTAATTCCATTTGTGCTGTTAAATATTGTAAATGATGAACCAGGTCTCAATAGTGTTTGATTTGACACAGTACTTTGAGCAGTTTGAAACACAGCTGGAGGTCTAAATATCTGAAATGGTCGATTTTGTTGAAAAATATTCACTGGAAAAGCTATGCCCAGTGGCCATCCTGTTTGTGGAATATTTAATCCGGGACGAAATGGAAATGGGTTTAGTAATATAGGACGTTGTGGCACAAGCGGTGGTCTTGTCGGTCCTATGGAAGTCCATGTCACTAATTGTGTATTTGGTCTGTTAGTTGTAGTTATTAAAGTAGTACTACGTGTTGTGGCTGCTGCCTCTGTGGTTGTAATTGTTGGTCGGTTTGTTGTCGGAGGACGACTCGCTGTAACTATTGGTCGAAGCGTTGTCGTCGTTGAACGAGTTGATCTTGTTGTTGGGCGACTAGTGGGGATCGAATAAAAACGCGTTGGTGTGGTGGTTGTAGTACTTGTTGAATACCTTGCAGGTGAAGGTAAAAGTTTGTGATCTTCCTGAACATTATTTGAGTTATCGTAGAATATAATGTCATCAAATGAATCGTCATGAAATAAAGGGTCATAGTCATACTGACAACAGGTGCCAAATATGAAGCCATCCATGCAAGTTCCCATAAGTGTTCCATTGTGATTAATGCAGTCCCATTTAAATGTACAAATGCCTTTCCTTCCGCTTGGATCAGAACAGGGCTTCTTTGATATTTTCAAAGCTTTACCTAAAAAACAATAAATATTCATAATTAACTATAATACAGAATTATGAACTGCCTTAACTTGCTAATTTTCATTAAAAATTGTTCGAATTTTTTTTTGTCATAAAAGCTGTGCCATTATTATTGATATTTTCAATAAAATAGTTTCAGCGATGGTTATAAAATATATAATAATTTTTTTTCACAATATACCTAGTTTATAATTCTTTATGAAGTGTTTACCTTTGAGTAAGTAGTGTAGTCTAATAAGTTGGTATAGTGATCTGTAGATATAGTTTTAATCATTATCAATTGGCATAATACTTATTACTGAACGTCAACTCCGTTAAAATATACTAGACTTAACAATTTTCTCAGGTATTTGTCCCATTCGGTGGGCCGTAAAAATCTATTTTCACCGAACATATAGTAGGTACCTTGGTACCAATATTAGTAAATTTTGTATCTCTTAACAACTCCAATTAACATAATACCAGTACTGCCTGTTATCAACATTAATTATCATAAGGCGATTTTTTTGGGATTCTGCTGGAAACCTTCCTCCTTTACCTTTATTTAGTACCTTTTTAAGTACCTTTTCTCCACTAATTTAGCTTTTTAAATCAGAACTTTTTTTTTTTTGTTTTATTTAAATTTATATCATTTACAAAAAATTGTATCAATTTTAATTCTCGGAAATAATTAGTAACGACACTCATATTTTTATCGTTTTTAGCTAACTAATATCAATACTTAATTCGAAGGCCATAAAAAATCAATGATACGAGTGATGCTAAATTAAATGTGGTATTAAACACTTACTGGTATTGCTGTTAAAGGTACTGTAGTGATGAGAATCTATTATAACAATCTAGGCATCTAAAATATGCGTTGTGGTGATTGTTTTTTTTTCGACCTTTCGAAACGGATAAGTACCCTAAAATCACTATACTACACATTAATATAAAACCTTTTTTTCTGTTATTTATTATATATTACTATACATTATTAGATTTACCGTAACATAAGTTAGAAATTCCACTCACTAAGAGAAAGATTAACATTCATATTGTACCATTTTATCCATGATCAGAATATATTGGCCCATGGCTAATTAGAAGACTTCATTTTGGACTTCATTTTGGCTTTATTAATTCTTGTTGAGTTTCCATATTTATGTTTAGAGAGCCATGCTTCAAAAGCGTATGTATCAATATTAAAACCCAGAAGCGGTTATATACTTTTTAAAATAGGAATCCGTTTAAGTCATTATTAATAATTCGCAAAATTATGAACGTTGATTTTACTTGTGGTAATCTAACAAAGGAAACCAATGATAAATAATTCGGTAAAAACGAGAGATAAAACTAATTTTTCATTGAATAGAGCAGCTAGCTAGCAAATCACTCATATTATAAAATCTTTATCAAATCTTATGAAAAACTCTTTGGGCTGTTGGTTAGTTCTGTCATATTTTCGAACGTTTATACACCATATTTGGTGTGCGTTGGTTCGTAATTGCGAATTTGTATAAGATATTTACTTTCACACATAAAAGTATTCTGTTTTATTTATTTAACTCGATAAATTTTAAATACATAGCATAACGATGATATATATATATATTTCTTATGTAAAGCTTTTGTTCCTTATGTCGGCTTATAAATATTTTATGGAAGCTTTATACAGGCCTGAAAGATGGACGGAAAAGAGAAAACACTGGTAGTAGAACTATTTCAATAATAGATAATTTTCGGGAAGAATAAATCTATTCTTAACAATAAGCAATTCATAGCTATAAATTTTTTCTCTGGGAAGAAGCGATTTGATATATAAATTGTATCCGTTAAAAAATTCGGTAGCTATGGATATTTTATTATTCCCGAAAAAAAAGCTGAAAATGAAATTTATTTGTTATCAGTTTTTACTCTTCCGTCTTGGACTTTCAGCCCTGGCTTTATTTTGACTATGAATGGGTGTTTAAAATATACTGATATGTTGATATAACATTCAGTTAATTACTTTCTTGACTTTAGCTTTCAAAGCTGATAGACAGTTTTCGTTCATAAATGCTAAAAGTATGTTTCGATTTCAATATATCTTACTAAAAATAGAATGTGTATAATTGAGTCATTCCATCGCTTCTTCCCACTCATGGCATATGAAATTATTTAATCTATTTATGAAAAAATAAATATGTGCCTGGTTCTAAATATCCTAGTATCTATATTAATATGACATAAGAGTAATTTATTAAGGCTCATAATTAAATCTGTATAAAATTATAATTTCTGTTTCTCCCTTCTACGCGCAATAATTATTAATATAATCTTAGCTTAATCTACGACCAACAACTAAATTATGCAATTCATGAAATCTGTTTATTAAAAAAATTTTCCTAACTAACAAATTTATGAATGTTAAAAGGATTTTAAGTCCTAAATTTCATTATTATCTTTTTAAAAATGCAATATAAATCTTGAAAGTTTCCTTTTGATACCTGTAAATTAGCTCAGTGAATAAAATCATAAAAAATTAAGTTAGACAAAACAGTAAGAATCCATTGCGGGAGTTTTTATTGATTTGATTTGATTAAAAGATTCTAGCGAAGTCATCCTTTCTACCAACAAACATCTGCATAGTAAAATAATCTCTTTTTTTTGCGTTAAAAAAATTATATTTTTTTCAAAACCGAAGCATATTTGAAATTAATATTTTAAATGTAGAGGTAGCCGAAAAAATTGCTTACCTCTTCTGTGCGACTCCTTGATGGTAAAGTTCTTTTGCTCCGCAGACACCATAAGAAAAATGACTATGCACAAGCAGCCGCGCCATAGACCCATCTGATCCTGGAAAAGATAAATTTGAATTTTGTCATTTGCAAACCAGCCATGGCATGCAAACTCATAATAAAATTCATCATTGTGTCATTTTTAAAATTTCACTGGAAATCGTTCATGGACGCGAGACTGATCGTAAATCATTTAGCAAGGTTGCATATTTTGAATTCGATGTCCTATATTCATTGGCCAAAGATATAATTGTGACGCATGCGTATTTTAATAAAATTTGTGAGTTAAAATTGTCGTTCATATAACTTTCAGATGCTTCTTATGAAGGAATCAAATTAGTTTTTGAGTTGAAATGAAATCAACCGAAGGATTGAATTTAGGATTAAAATTAAATCGGAGTAATTTTAGGATTGGAATGAAATGAAATTAATTTTAGGATTAAAAATTTATCAATTTAATTTTAAGTATTGAATGAAATGAAATTATTTTATGATTAAAATGAAATTGAATTACTTTTAAAATTAAAAATAAATAAAATTAGTTCTAGGATTAAAATGAAATCATATTAGTTTAGGATTTAAATGAAATCAAATTAATTTTAGGATTGAAAGTAAATCAAATTAAATTTAGGATGGTAAGCAAATTAGTTTAAGTTTGACAATCTAATGTTTTTAGGATAGCACAAATTTTTAGTAATAATAATCACTCGGAGTTTTAAAAGGGCAAGTTAATTTTACGAGGATATTTTAATCCGGATCATATTTACTTGGATATAATTTTTATTCATAGAAACATTTTGTTTCATGAAAGAAAATATTCCATGCATAATTAATAAAATTAAATTTATATGTGTCGTGCAATATTTTAACTTTGAAAAATTAAAACAAAATGCATAAAAAACATCAATTGTGTCAATTGCACTTTCTTACGAAATTAATACTTTGATTGCGAAATTAATACTTTGATTTCCATTTTTTTTTGAGAATGAGAATAAAAACAAAATAACCGTAATTTTCATTTGTATTTTCAGGAGGAAAATGTTTATGTTCATATATAATAGAAATAAAAGTGAAACAAATTCTGAAATAGTTTGGTCACACCTAATTGGTAGCACAAATGGTTAAATTTTACATTGGACATGACATAGAGAGTGAAATTACAAATTTACAGTACAAAAATAATTAATATATTTTTTTAAATCATAGCAATAAATAAATCTATACGTAAAAAAAATATGTAAGTAAACTTTTCTTTAATTCGAATTTTGTGCTTTTGTTGAAATTTTTAAGTTAGGGATTTTTAAAAAAAAATCTTATTACTATTCTTGAAGTAACAAAAAAAATATTAAAAATCAATTTAAAGTAGGTATTTTTTTCATCATTTATTTACAAATAAATTAACTACAAATTGATGTAGTAAAAAATTCATTATACATTTTTCAGTTAAAATAGGTTTAAATTAAAAAAGTTTAGGTAAACCTAGACTAAAAGGCGAAGTTTTAAATGCTGAAAAAAAATCTTGAAAGAATCAAAATGCAAACGAATTATGGCAGAATTACTCACAATTATGTTGTAAAGAAGCAATCCTGCAATAATTTGCTTGTTTTGAAAATATTCTTTCGACAATTATAATTTCATAGTTTTTTCTAGATTTACCTGAATTCAGCTTTCCCTAAATTTTAAAATACCAATAGAGAGAAAACAGAATTTGCCATGAAAAGTTTCTCTCGGGGGGTACAACATCCTCTTAAGAAACTTGACAAAAAACATTCTAAACATCAGTAGAATTGTATATTAAATGGTGTTCTTAAATGAAATTGTAACCCTGTTTTATTCTAAGTAAAATTTAGTCTTAAAAAAAGTTGGTTTTAACAGGATTTACGAATCCACGACCGTGTTATGATCGACACCAGATGAAAACAATTTAATGAATTTAAGATAAGCATGCGCTGCAATCCGAATTCAGTAAGTTTTATGTGTTTAATTTTTCCAAATAGAAATTTGTAGTGTTTATTTTAAATAAATTCTAAAATAAAAGAAAATTCAGTTTGATGATTGAAAATCTTTTACCCTCTACAAATAAAAAAAAGCTTACTTTGTCATTTATATATATATAAAAAGAACTATTATTTGAAGTTTTACAATTCGATCCAAAACTCATTTGGTTTATGATATATTTTCACTAATAAATAAAATAAATTTTTTAAAGTGCTAACTTTCAAGTTTTACTTATGAAATAACACAGGAAATGAAATATAACAGGAAATGAAATATAAAAGGAAATGAAATATAACAGGAAATAAAATATAACGTTGCATAGGTTGAATGATAACAATGATAAAATTATCTGCAATCAATACGATTTATTTTTTGATGATATTTGGATAATTTGGATTTATAGATAATTGGTTTCTATGAAATTTGTTGCAAAGCGTTCTTTGTGTTTCTGTAAGTGTACTTTAATGACCTTATGCAAAACGTCATGTTTAAATATTTTAAAAAATATCAACTCAAAAAGAAAATTTTAAATCAAACATTTATGAGTCAGAAGAATAATAGTAATAATAATAAAAACAAAACAAAAAAAACAAATATAAATTATTTTGGATAATCAAGTAAAATCGCTCCTGGTAACGAAGTTATTTTAGTTCATGGTTAAATTGATTTGTAAGCAACAAAAAAAGTCTATTTGTAAATGAAAAAAAACAAAAAAACAAATTAACAAGAATATAACGTGCAAACATATAGCATTAACGAATATTTATAAAATACTGACACTTAAAAATTTTAAAATAATAATTAAATTTTTTCAATTTCTAAAATTGCAATTATAATCAGGACGAAAAATAAAGCTTATATAAAAGATGCAATCTTACCTTGGATAATTTTTTAATTATTTTTTAATTAAAAAACAATCAATCGAACTTTTCTCACGGCCTTTATTACATACATAGGTCACTCAGCAATTTTGTCATTTACAGTCTATTTCATTAATTTTTTTTTCAAGCCAAATTTTATTGTAAATTCAAACATTCTTTTAGACAATTAAACCAATTTATAAACTATTCCCTGCCATATTGTTGTTTGATGGAACGGCAGTAGTTTCTAAACTTACCTGTAAATTTGATATCTATTACATTTTTTACATTTTGATATATTTTATGTCTTGTGCTGATTAATTGTTATTTTCCTGACTAATGACTGAGTTGTAATAATTGGATCAAATTTTTGTGATTTTTATCAAAATGGTTTTATATTCACGCTGTGGACATTGATTGACAATTATTTTGCACATTGTAATTATTCAACTTATACAATATTCTATTTTATTCCAACCATGGTTGAAATGAAATAAGACATTGCGTATGTTGAATGATTACAATGATTAAAATTATTTGCAACCAATTTTCGCAACATTACTTCTAATCATTTTGATAAAAATGAGCAAAATTGGGTTTTATTTCAACCAGGGCTGAATGCTATTTCACTCCGAAAACCAATTGAATTACTTAAAGACATTGGATACTTTTCCTTAATTTAGATTATGGTCTTAGTTGGACCAAGTGCTTTGCGCAGCTAGAGTTTGATTGGGAGTTAGACAGAATTATGGCTGAATACCCAGGGCTGGGATTTTGTAACTAAATTTTTCTCCATGCGTAAAACGTGCATCTATGTAATTAATTTTTCATGCCTGCTTAGTGTGACTCCAGGAGCCTGCATTTGCCAAAATTTTGGGAGTTCATGGATTCCCAGAATGTAATAGTCATCGATATCGCCCTTGTTTTTCTAGTGTGGTGAATCAGGTTTTATTACAATAAGCTATGTATATTACAATAAGCTACATATATTCAATGATGAAAACAATGTGATGAAGCATTTAAGGTCTTGATTAAGATTTCCAAAGCCCTCCTACAAGAATTTGTTGGTAGAAATAAATACTTGAATTGCAAAGTTTATACTTGGCTATTGCCGATGCCAAAATAATATTAATAACAATATTTAAGCTCCGTGAATTTTTTTCAACACGTTTATGTTAATATTTTTTTTTGTTAGATATTTTGAATCTGTTACAAAATCCCTTTTATTTCGAAATAAATATTTTTTTAAACGGTCTCTAACGAGATATTTGAGGAGAAATTTCTAATGAAGTTACGAACTGAAGTGAGATATAATAAAACACACAATAAGTAAAATTAACAGTAAGGAGCCAAAACTTATAGCTGCTGTCAGGATCCTATTTCCCAGATTGTGGTCAACTCCTGTATTTTGAGGATTAAATGTTCAAATATGTAGAAAGGAGTATATTTATTCTGCGAAAGTACGTTTTTGTAACTATTTTTAATTAAAAAAATTGTCTAATAGTATTTTTAAAATTAGCCCTTCGAATCAATAACCAGTTTAGCACAGAATTTAATTTTAGATGTCTCTCACAGGAACTAAAAGCAAGCAATAAAGTGAAAACACTTCGAAATCAGGGCAAATAGTCTTGATATGAATTTTAAGAAAAATGAATAATTAAATTTTTATTTAATAAAAAAAATGACATTTCATTTCTGAAAAGGTGATTGTATTAGAAGCTTCTTAAAAATTTGTTACAAAATAATAAAGTACATAATATACAATCTAAGAACAATACGAGATGTAAGCGAGAGCTTTTGGATTGAATGCCTTGCATTAGCATTTAATTTTAAAAAGATGTCAAATTTCCAATATTGGTCCAGCTAACTGCTTACGAAGCTTATCCGCAAATCAATGCTCACTGGCTTACGCATGTTATTGGTTTAGGGTTAAAGCCAATTACGTATGGCCAATTACGGCTTTCAATAAATTCTATTGGTAATGGGAAAAATAACACCAAATAATATTCTTATTGTATTTTATCGACATTTGCAGTTTTGATAGTCAATGGTAATTTTGTATTTTACACGACGAATACCAACGTCATACGCACTGGTATAGAGATTTGGTCCGATGTTTATACACTAGTTATGATTGGATGGTTAAGATAACTGATTAAGATTGGATGTTTGTACGTATGTGACTATCCTATCACAAAATCAAAAAATATTAAGGCGCTTCGTTTTAAATTTTGCTCTCTGTATTTAATTTTATTGCTGCATGGAATATTTTTGAATCGAAATAAAGCTAACATTAGAGTCTCTGGATGTTAATATTCCAACAGGACCAACAGAATATTATTGTTGTACACTGTAAAAAATTCCAGATCAAGTTACTGTGTTAACTACTGGCACTTTGGGTGCATCATCCATGTAATCTATTTTACCATAAAATCCATTTTTACCATTAAGTATTTTACCGTAATTTTTATAGTAATATTTATTTAATAGAGTGTTCAGTGATTTTGCGGTAATTATTACTGTAAAAATTAGGGTATATCAGACTTTTTGTACCATAACAAGTTCCAGCAAAAATGGATTTTACTGTAAAAAAATCGGCAATCTGAACCCCCAATCCGAGTACCGTAATTTCATCCGTAATTTTTTACAGTGTGGACCAGATATGGGGGAAGAATGATACTCTCGGAAAATGTAAAATTAAGCGTTGCACTTTAATTTTTTCTTATATACTAAAAATATAAAAAGGTATATTAATGCTCTTCATAGACTTCTTAGGGTATTTTTACGTATTTAGTACATTTTATTCACGTAAGAATGGGTAATGGGGATTTAAAAAAATAATCTAATAAAAAAAAGAGAATTACACATTTTGGTTTAATTGTTAGTAAACATTTTCAAACCTTTGACTCAAAATTTTCATTAAACATACTTTTTATGCCTTTTTTATTATTTTATATTAATTTGGGACAAAATCAGTGAAAAATATTATATTTAGCTTCTAATTAATTTATGGTTATGAAATACAGCCCTAAAACACCGGTGTCTTTTTCTCCGTTTTACATAAACAATAATTTTTCAAATTTGCACTTATTTGCTGTTATTTAAATTTAAGAGAAACAGTTATTTATCATCGAAATGTCTTTAATTTATAAATTTAATTATTGAGAAATTTTTGAATAGAAATTGAAATTTTATTTCACGCTAAATTTTTTGGATTTTATATTTTTATACAATTATAATTGTGATAATCGAACAGAATTTTTTAGTAGTTTCTAGACTATTTTTTATAATTTAAAAATACCAAAATATGTGCTTACTTGTAATTAGAACGTCAGAAAAAAAATATATAAAAGAGACACCGATGTCCCATCTGCGTTAAAGGGTTAAACTTTCAGTCAGATGGGTTATGCAGAAAATAAAAATGAATAGCTAGAAACATTTAATGATAAATAATTATTAAATAGTCAGTAATTAATAAATGCGGATTTTGAACTCATTGCTTTTTTTTTTTTTTAACCAAGTCATCGATGTCAGAATTGATTCTAAAAAACACTTAAGTTTCTTAGATACACAACAGGCAATCTTGAACTATATCTGTTATGTTCATAATTGAAAGTTTTTTTATTCACACTTATTAGTTGATTCAAACGTATAACAAAATTTGACAGCCATATCAGGCAAAATTTTAAAAATTGCTTGTTACTGCACTTTTCCAAAATTCTATATTTTTTGAATATATGTGTTGTTACGAATTCTTTTTACAAATATTTCAAATTTTTCTTTAAATTTTCGCGTGCTACTACTCAAACTCTACAGTGCCACGTGTACCGCTATTTGGTTATTCGTGCTATAGAGGACTTAATTTTACGTAGATTGTTGTAGCGAGATTTCAGAGTATTTAATTTTGGAAGCTTTCTATAGTAATATACGTATTAAAGTTCGCAAATTAATGTTTAATCGAGGAAGAAACGAAAGATCTCGATTTTTACTGAATCACCTAATGAAAGAAATGGGATGAAAAGCATCGGAACCAGTTTGATTGCCTGATGACACTTAGAGGGATTTCTCTTCAGGTGTTTTCAATTCTATCGTATTTTCAGCTCCTGTTTCTTCCCGCTTTCAAACAAGTTTGATGTTTACAGTCCCGCCTTTCTCCCTAGTGATTCCTTAGATTTCAACATTGTTTTTAACTAGTATTTAAGTATTCATTGGTGACCCTTATGAACATATTTGTTTGAATCAATTTTACACAAGGAATGAAAGTATTTACACGAATGGAGTATTACTAATAATAATAGCTGTTAATAATAAATAAGCTAATAATATACTAGCTGTTTTGTTCTTCTTTGAATATCGTACGCTAAATGAAAAATTCTGCAATTTGTAAAAGTTACCTAAATTTTTCAATGCGTCAGACTAATTGGAAAATTCAGCAATTTCTAATCTGCCTGATATTATTAAGGCTTATTAAATATAGCTCATATGTATTTAGGTTAGCTAAGAAATGCTCGAAGAATTACGCAATCAGACTGTATTTGCTTAGGGTTATTGATAAGGCTTTTTACAATAAGCATCCACTAGTCTGGGTTTAAAGCAAACTGACTAAAATTAATTAAGATAATTGAACAATGAATCATATCTAAATACTTTTTAGGTATGTGGTTTCACAAGAATTAGCTTAAAAAGTGTCAGGATAGTTTGAAAAAATATTGAAGAAAAATTCTTTAATTTCCTGTAAAATTTTATTTAAAATCTATTTTTATATACTGGTAGAATCTATTAATGCAACAATGTATCCTATAGAAATCTAAGGAGTCTACACAGATCTCTACAACATTAATTATCTCTATGGATAATTTACAATAAGCATTCACTGCTTTTTGCAATAAGCACTCTCTGCTCTGGGCTTAAAGCAAATTGACTGGAATTAATTATGCTAATTGAACAATGAATGATATATTTTCTAATTACTCTTAAGGTATGTGGTTTCACTACAATCAGATCAATTACTTCAATTTTCTGTAAAATTTTATTTAAAATCTATTTTAATATACTCGTAGAATCTATTAATGCAACGATATATCTTATAGAAATCTAAAAAGACTACACATCTTCTCAACATGCATATCTCTATGGATAATGAGCAATAAGCATTCACTGCTCTAGGCTTAAAGCAAACTGACTAAAATTAATTACGATAATTAAACGATGAGATAATGAACTAGATTATTTGACCTAAAATGCCGGATTATTAAGTTTTAAAGCTATTTCTGTCCCTAGTTTGTATTTTTTCGACAATTTTGACGTATTAGCTGCTGAAATAAAGATTGATGGTATATATTTACATTAAAACTTAGCTGTCAACAATATTGTTTTATAACATTCATGGCAATATAATATTTTTAGGCGACTAAAATTTCCTTAGGACATTAAGAGTTAACTTCTCAAGCTTTTAAAATTTGTTATATCAACGAAAAATGGCAAAGCTACTTACTCTCTGGCAGCCCGGTTTTATCCATAAGTATTTAGCTTTTCCATTTACCATCCAAAGGAATGTTGATTTGGTCGCCAAATTTTTGTGGAATCTCAAGAACGCCACTAAACTTCACTAAAATATTTAAGAATCCTTAGAAGAATATTTCTGAAGAAGAAAGATGACATCGAATGCCATTCCTTTCACAAGTATATTCCAGAGTCAATCTCATCACATTCTTCAACCCTCTTTAATCGCCGTTGTCGTAAAAGCTAAACCTTTAAAAGGATTTACAATTGGAATATTTCAATTTGACCCAAGTAACCTCTGGTGTGGAACATGGTCACGGACTTATGTCCTCTTGGACACTCGTCTCGAAGGGTGTGTCGCGGATATGGACGCTCTGCTGGACAAAGAGTTAGCGGTGCAAAATGGGATTTCGTGACATCATTTTGCTTTCCTTTTGTGGAATATCTATTGGCAGGTCCGTTTCGCGTGGTGCTATTTCACTATATTTTTCTCATCTTTTTGTTTTCGGAAGGACTATTAAACTTTTACGTTTCTCTGAGTCTGATGGCGATGTTTTGACGAGATTGGAAAGAATTGAATTCACTTCCTTTCTTAACACGTTCCTTATCATGTGTATTGAAACATCTTGCTTTCGACCATAAAACCTGCGAAGTTAATGTAATGTAATGTGTAGTCTCATTAACCAGTTTAGTTAATGGGATCTTATCTGTGCAATTAAATATTAGTGCTTGGAAATTTTAATTTTTCAAAAAATTTCATCAAGTATTAACGTAAAAAATTTAATTAACTTCCTTCTTTAACACGTTTTTTTGTTGTATGTATCAAAACATGCTTTTGGCCATAAGAATGAGAATTATGTATAACTAATGTAATTTAATATCAGTGTGTGATTCATTAATTATTCAGAGAATTCCATTAAATAAAGTATTGGAAAGAATTGAATTAACTTCCTTTCTTAACTTGTTTTTTTATCATGTGTATCAAAGCATCTTGCTTTCATCAATAAGAATATCAATTCTGAATAGTTAATGTGAGCTTATCTGAGTAATTAAATATTAGTACCATAAATTAATTAATTATTCGAAGAATTTCATGAAATGAATTATTATTGGAAAGATTTGAATTAACTTCTTTTCTTAACTTGTTTTTTCATATGTATCAAAACATCTATAAAAACATCAATTCTGCATAATTCATCTGATGTTATCTGTATAATTTAATATTAGTATTTGGAATTTGTTTATTATTTGAAAAATTTCATTAAACAAATCAGATAGCTGAGATGAACTGAATTCACTTACTTTTTCAACATGTATTTTTTTAAAATTTTTTTATATCTATCAGGTGTATCAAACACATCTTGTTTTCGGCTAAGAGAATATCAATTGTGTATAATTTATATTACATTATCTGTACAATTAAATATTACTTTTCGGAATTAATTTATACTTTAAAGAATTTCTTAAAATTTACCAATATTGAAACGAATAAGTTCACTTCCTTCCTTAAAACATTTTTTTACCACGGGTATCAAAACATCTCGCTTTCGGCTGTAAAATATCAATAATAGTTTTTACTATGCATTTGGAATGCATTTAAAATTTAAAGAATTTCATCAAATGAGCAAACGTTAAATGTGTCTTACCTTAGACAAACTTTTTCAATTTGTTCTGTCTAAAAGTTAATAATAATAAGCTTTAAAATTATTGATTTAAAATTAATACAAGAAAATTAATTTAATTTAAAAAAAAATAGCATTGCAAATTTTTGGCATTAAAATATTCATTAAAATATCTTTAAAGTTTTAGTTCTTTAAAAATATAATTAACATTTTTGAAATTTTTTTCTTTTGAAATCTGTTCTTTTTTAAACTTCAAAGCATGGGACAAAATATTAAAACAGTTATTTCCAATTACAAAAGAAAAAAATAAATAAACAAATAAAAATGTATGAAAAGTATAAAGAAATTTTAAACAAGATTTTAAATTTTCAATAATGCCTGGGATTATATGAAAAAGTCAATTTTTTTATATTTAAATTCATGTTTCTTTTATGCTTGTTATAAAAATTATACACCAAGAAAAAATTAGAGTTTCTCATGGACGAAAAGTATTTATGTATTTATACTGTTGAATTGTTTATTTAAGAGTTTATGAAATGAAAGCATTTAGTATGAGAATTTTATGTTTCTCGTCGTATGACCGATAATTTATTTGCTTAAAAAAAGACGCATTTTCATTACTGTATAATAAAACTTTGGATTATCAGTGATTGGTAAAATAAAGAAACAGCGAACTTTCATTTTTATTTTTACAAACTATTTTTTCACATTTTTGAAACAGAATCAACTGTCTGCGCGCACTTAACTATTATAATTAATATTTAAGTTTTATGGAAATGCTCAACGATTTTCCTTTATATTCTCTTTTCAATTTATAAATTATTTTTAACGATACCAAACGATAACGAAACGATACTAAAACGGTATCTGTTTTTTGTAATTATTCTGTTTTAATAAATCGTTAAGTTTTTTCAGTTAAAATCAAAAAAGGTATTTTTTTATTTATTTTGAAATCTAAAGCACGGCAACTCAAGATTGTAAGTTGTTTTGTAAACATCACCCTTCATATAGATTTTTAAAAGCTTCATAAAATGAACTAAAAGATAGGGAGCGAGCTTTAATTATATGCATATAAGAATTAAAAATTCAATCGAAATCAGTGGAATCACGAGTGAGGAAGGCGAGATGAAAAATATTAAAACCAGTTTAGTCATTTGATGAAATTTCGAAGTGTTTCTAATAAACAATTTCAAACTCTTTTCTGATTCCTTCGGCAGTCATGCAGGATCTGGTGTTTTCGGTTTAGTCATCATCAGTCATAAATCGTTAGATTTTGATGGCGTTTTTTTTCATCCTTTAAATATTATGTTCTTTAATGTGTAATGTCATCCCATCATTTTAAAAAAAAATTTAAAAAAGATATATTTATGCCGGTATTTTGTAAGACGGTATATTAAAAACTACGGTATATTAGAAACGGTATATTAAAACTACGGTATATTATGCCGGTATATTAAAAACTTTATTATATGAAACTTATGGTACTAGAATGTAGATGTTCTGGTGGCTCAGCCGGTTAAGGTAGCACACACATACCACTGGTTGGAGATCTGGGGACAGTGAGTTCGATCCTTGTGGTAGTCAAAAGAGTCAGCGTGACACACAGCAAGGTGCCTGTTAAATCAGCCATGACTGAAAGTTATCTTATTGGTTTTGGTGTGACAATTTGGAGAGCGGAGTTCAAGTCGTCTTAGTAGTGTCAAAATTACATGGCGATCCTACCATGGCTACCAAGAGCCCTTTAAATTTCACTAGGTGCCTGGTATTGGTTGGATAATGATTCTGGTACCAGAGGGTGAGTATGTCATACATTTAGGCTGAATAAATATTAGTTATCTTTTCCAAGTGTACAGTGTTCAACGGTGGTTATAAAATAAAATAAAATAGACCTTTGACATAACAAAGGCACATCTTGTACTCTAAACGTGTTTTTGTAGAAGTTCAACTGAATCGTACAACCGTACCTACTACCTCCAAGATACAAGCCACATGAATGTAGCTGTTTTAATTCTGATGAAATCTTGGTTGTTACTTTCGTACTTTTTGTGGTAATCTTCTGTATTTTGTGTTATCTGTTTTTCAATTCTACAAGGACTTGAAAACTATTCCAGCAAACAAGTGGTCCCGCAGTGGACTGATCATTAAGACACAGTTCCCAGCAGATCACCGAAGTCAAGCATCACTGGCTGCGGTCAGTGTGCGGGTGGGTGACCCACTTGGATCAGTCTGCGTAGGGACCGAGGGTGTGCGGTATTGGTCCTCGTTAAACTGTGCTACCGTAAAGTGCTGGACTTCGCGCGCAGGTCGTTGGGCTACCGAAGCGGGGGTGCCATCCCCTCTGCAGAGGATCAAAATTGTGATGGCATGTCTTCGGATCATCCTCAGGGATGTTTCCCAAACCGTCGCCAATAGCCCATTGTACAGCTCTAGTGCGACGTAAATGAACTACAACTACAACAGCAAACAAGTCAGCAGAACGGCTTATAAGCCTTGTCAAAATGAAAGACATATTGAGCTGTGAAAATTACAAAAAGGCACATGGAGTTACAATAAAATCAAACCCGTTACCTCCACATTTTCAAATCTTTGATCGAGGAATAATACAGTCGATTTACTCCCTCAATTATTTACACGATTATATATTTTTATTGTTTAGTTATTCATATACGCATGCAGGCTAGTCTTTAATACAAAGAACGACTTCTAAGCACTTGTCAGTCGAATTTAAGAACATGTAGCTCAAATTAGAGAAGGCCAGCACAAAGATACATTCAGTGCTATGGCAGGATTCGAACCTGATACCTTTACTCTGCAGAGAGTGGTGAAAAAGCAATAATCTTTGGCCACCGAAGCTCCTCAGTGTTTGATAAAAAAATGTCGAAGAAATGAATTTGAACACGCCGTAGATGGGTTTTCATTAAAATCCCTTTCTGACAGGTAATTTTTGCTAAGTTTAATGTTATAAGGCACAGTTTTAATTCACGAACTTTTAAAGTTTAAATTCATTTGTTAATAATAAGTAATAGCATATATGTTGAACATTTTCTCTCACTAACTCGTATTTTGCAATGAGATGACATTTTGAGAATTTATTGGGAAAAAGTACGAGTTAATTTTAAGTATGGTTCTTTCATTGTGTGATTCGAACAAATTTTTTTGCCAGATCCTTAAACAAGACAGTTTTTAATAAGAAAATCTATTATGTAAACAGCTTCTTGCTGTTGCAATATTTTCTAAATCTGATGTTCTTAAAATTTAAGCTTTATAATAAGTATATGTCATATGAACAATACAATACCCTCTAAACCGCATATATAATTTAATCGATATGCAAGGCATGTATTTATTGCATATAGCCAGTTTTGTTTTCTTGTATATCAGGGAATGACAATATTCTAACGGTTTTCTACACTATACACATTGAAAACACTATTTGCATAATGATTTTAAAATATTGATGCAAAATTAAATATCTTCTTCGTTTTTTATTTGCGCAGTTATGCAAATTCATTTCGAATTTAAAATGATATTAACTATCACAAAAATTCTTTTAAAAATTGCCGTTCCTATATGTTAATGCATAGAAAATTTTCATGCTAGTTTTAATTTTTTTTTTATAAGAAATGCTTTGAAAAATTAGCTTTCTAGATTTAACACTTAGGCTGGTCAAGATAATTTCTTACTTTTATGAGTAGCAAATTATTTCTAATTTATATCTAAAATAGAAGTTTAAAAGTGAAAAAGCATTTCTGAAACTCCTCTTTATTAAAATGCCCGCTGAAAAGTTGAGCTTTTAAAAACGGTCTTTTGTGTGGCATATGGGTATACGGGTAAGAAATCCGCAGCATAACGAATTTTTTTTCCGTTTTTTTATGAAATTTTTCTCTGTTTTAATTTCGATGTAAAAGTCTTTAGATCACTCTTTTTAGTTATTCCTTGAAGAAAATAACACCAAGCTTGTTTTTTTTCTTCCAATAATTCTTTTATTGTTGCTGGCGGATCAATGTTTAAATATCGTGATTTTAATCATATAAATGCGCTGATTTAGCTGCAGTTTATTTTACAATTTTAAAAATGCTGATAATTTAAACCGATTCGGATATTCTGCTTTAATATGAGTCATGAAATTATTTAATATACTTAGTAAATGAGGCGAACCAGGTGCGAATCCCAGTCGATACGAATTCCGCATCCGGCTTGTACAGACCACAGTGCTGAAGTAAAATATCCTCAGTGGTAGACGGATCATGGGTTAGAGTCCCCTTGCCGTCAGGCTAACCGTGGGTGATACTCGCTGTCTTCCTTTCCATGTAACGCAAATGCGGGTTATTTCCATCAAGATGTCCTCAATGAAGGCAAATTTCTCCCAATGCTCGATCCAGGAGTTCCCTTGTCTTCTGAATTGGGTTCAAAATTGCAAGGCGTCTCTGAGTTTATCATTAGTTGTCGTAAACCCATAAAATTGGGTCTACTGTTCAACGACGGTTATAAAAAAATATACTTAATAAAATTTTTTTTTCAAGGATGTTTCTATGCCTGAACTATCCTAGCATGAAAAGAAAATACATAAAAGCAATTTTATTATTAAAAAAAAACGAGTAAAATTATAATTTCTGTATATCCTTCGAACGAATCAACCAATATGTAAAAATTTTAAGTTACTTTACTATAGTATTTGATAATGAAGAAGGAATAAAGATTTTTGCCCATTTTTCGCAAAAATAACGATTGGATTACCATCTGAAGCATATTGAGGATTACTAAATTTTGACATATCAATGTAGAAAATTGGTTCTAATTGAGAGCTATTACACAATGAATAAGAGCATTGTTAAAAAAATGTTTTTAATTACCGTTTCTGTTATATAGCTTTGTCAGTCGGGCAAAATCAGGTAGTACAAAAGGCTACAGGCTACTGGACAGATAAAGTTGAAATTTCAAGAAAGTTATTAACATTGCATCAAATGTAAAGGATAGGTTCATGAAGCCCGTAGCATCGTAAAGAGCATGATCAACATTTTATTTGTGATTTAAGTTCTTAGATATCATAAACTAAATTAATATACTTTATACTGATGGTACCGAAAGTTGCAATTAGAATGAATTAAGAACTATTTATGCTCCTTGACTCTTAAGCCCCGCTATGTTTCTCAGTATCGAAAGGACGTTGCATTAATTTAATGCTTTAAATAAATATTACATCACGTAGAGAAAAAAAAAGAATACTACTTTACTCTATTTTTCAATAGGAAAAAGCGTTTTTTTCGTTTCTCATTATTCCAATATGTATCCGGTTTTATCCGATCAGTTTGATTAAAGTTGGATCATGTCAAACTTCCCAAAAATAATTTACTCTCTAAAATAGTTTTTTTTTTCATTAGTTAATGATTATTTTTAAAACTAAAGAGCTAATTTTTCATTTAAATAAAAAATTTAAGCAATTTTGTCCATGCGCTGTCATTCCAATTAGCGAGTGTCTTCGAACTAAGATCATTTTGAGGTTTTTTTTTTTGTAAAATAACATTTGAAAAACGCAGTGAATTCTCTATTTAACGAAATTTTATGTCCTATTTTTTTCCTATGATCCGTCATTTTTTTCTCCTTATTTCTCAAAATATTTCTGAACATTTCAAACTTATTGTTTTTTTTTAAAAACACATTTTATGGTATAATGACCTGGAATTGGTTTTACCAGTCTGAGAGTCATAAACTGCCGATCACTCTGATTTTCTCCAGGATGTGCAACTCTTATGATATTTACAAGATTCTGTTTACAAGAAGCATTTTGATGGTTAAGATTAAAGTTAATAGATATTAATTTATAAAATAAAGGTGTACTTAATTAATTGCAGTTATTATAATTAATTTATACTAATTATAACAATTAAATTTAATTGTAATTATAAAATAAAGGGGTAAAAATTTAGAATAGCTATGAATGAAAAAGAACATATTTATTTTTCATTGAATTATGTTTTCTTTAAATTGAAAAGCTCGATGGAAGAAGATAATACGATTTTTTGCAAACGCAAATCACATTTATAATTCATTAAATTAATTATTATTATTAGAAAAATATTTCTTTTTCTCTCGGTATTTTGCATAAATAACTTCTTAAAAACAACCGAATTTTTGTTTAGATATGAATATAATTTCAGATTTGAAAAATAAATACTGGCTAAAAAAGATGTCCTTATTCTCGGAATATCCTTGACCCTTCAAAGTAACACTGAGGTTTTCCGGAACCCTATTTGGAGTTCCGCAAAACCTCATTGTTTCAAAATTCAAGTTGTCTCAAGAAATGTGTTCGCTTGTTTTCGCATTGAGAAAATATTATTATATTGGATTAAAATTTTTTCGTTCTAGACATTTTTTACCAGTTTTTTTTATCGGCAAATAATGAATTTTTGAGTAAGCAGTTAACGCCGTTTTTTTTTCCTCACAGAAATCTTATGAATTAAGATTACAATGACGCATTAGTTAAAGTAAAATAATCAGAGATTCAAAATACAATTCATAAATTTTATTATAAAAATGTACTTTATTCCAATACAAAGAACTTCACATCACAATGTTATAGTTTGATCAACAAATCATAACATAATAATTTAAGAATGATACAAGTTATTTGGAATGTAATCATATATGTAAATAATGCTGGAACTCTTTTGTTCACATAAAATGTTTATAAATAAGATGATTGATGTTTATGAGAAACATGTATGATACATATAAGAAATATATTTAACACCTTTTTCGCATCTCCTATTTTGAAAAAAAATATGTAAGTAAAAACAAAATAGAAACTGATATATTGAAAATATGTACGTATCAGATTTTGTTCGAATATGAAGCTCGAGTTTAAATATTTATTTCTTTATTTTTTGTAAAAAATATTTTTTTTTAAAAATTTGTCTCTTTATAGTTTAAAAATAATGTTTTGGGCATTAGTTTAGAAAAAGTTAAATTATTTTTTCCTTAATTTGATTTATAAAAGTTGAAATACTTCTTTAAGAATTTAATAAAATTTTTTCTCACGTAATAATATAAATATAAAATATAATTTTTGAAATATGTTCGAATAAAATAAATTTTGTTTAAGTATCATAGCAATAATTTTTCAATATACAAGCAGAATAATTAAATTTCCATAAATCTTCCAATTTCTTTTTACTAAAATATTTAAAATCAAGTTTTTATTAAAATATTAAAATTCTGTTTAACTCTTGTCTTTTCCTGATTTTAAAACCATTGTTGAAAATATGTATATTATAGTAATTTAAAAAAAACATTATTAAAGATTTAATTGAAATCGATTGTAAGAAAATCAGATACTAAATTAGTTAAGGAAAGTTCAGAGCTAATATTCAATGTTTTCAAATGTATAATATTCATACAATATTTATTATATAAATTAGTATAATAAAGTTATATTTAATTATTTATATTATTTGTATTTTAATTAGAAGTGGGTACTGTATCAGTGGTATTTGTATTAATTTGTTCGACTCAATCGTTCGGATATTTTTTGATTTTAAGATTTAATCCAGTAGTTATATATTCCTGTACTCAAAAAGAGTAATGGTACATTCATGATTCAGAATTTAAATAGCTGATTGAATAGCCAATTCAAATCTTGATTCAAATAGTTATTCAATAATCATTTACATATAAAATAATTATATTTCTGATAAAGGCATTATAAAATAAACATTTGATAAAATCACTTAGATTAATCTGAAATTTATATATAATCATATAATCATTATAGAAAAAGGTTTACATTTAGGTAACGATAAATAATAATTTTTCATTAAAAAATATTTCTCTCTTACTATAAGTTATATTCCTTTCCACTAATTTATATACTATCACATATCACACAAGTAATCTTGGCAAGATTTTATTCAATTTTTTTTCTGCTTTGGCATTCAAATAAAATCTGTATTCCCATTTCCTGTTAGAACAATCCAGAGTCCACTGAACAAATCCATGAAAATTCATTCATAAATAAATATACACATATATTTTTAATATACATTAACGCAACAACCATTCGTGAAATATCACCATTTTATACACATAACAATCTCCCATAGCATATAAACCATTCTATAATATTCAGTTTCAATATCTATAATACTTAGTGTCTATGATACTCAGTTTTCATAACTATACAAAAAGAATGTTCATATGCATTAGAAAATAGATTTTTTTAAAAATTATTTCACTCATTAATCGCTCTACCTATAAATCTATTTAAATGTAAAATATTTCAATCATATATAAAAAATAAAATTACACAGTTGTGTAATTCATACATATATAGGATTCCTACGCTCTATTCCTAGTCTAAGTAATTCATTTGTCATAAATTCGACAGATCAGTTTCGTAGAATTGGCTTAGAAAATAATGATCTGGTTGATCCATTCCGAAAATTTTGTTATTCTTGTGTAGACTCCAGGTTGATTTGGTAGAGCACACCCTATACCCCAAGATATTACCCCAGCTAAAACCCAACGACCATCATCTTCTTGGAGAACCATTGGTCCTCCAGAGTCTCCCTGAAAAAGAAGAGAACCAGGTTAGCGTTATTTAAAAGCATTACTTGGTATAGACTACAAGGTTGAACAAGATCAGTTAATCTTCAGTGATCTATCAGCTATTTGAGATTTATGATTACTAATGGCAACAATGCATTTGAGTTTTTTTGTCAAAAGTTTCATTTGGGAACTAAAATTGAGCCATTCATTTCAAAGTCCCCCTCCCCTAATACTGCTAGAGCATGTAAAAAGGTGACTTTTTTTTTGCAAAACTCAGCAATATAGAAACACCTTCTATTCAAATGTGTACAGTGCCCCGCTGCGGTCAAAGGCTTAACTGCTTGTTGACGATTTGCTTATGTCGCAGAAGAAGATATCATGGAATAATTTAATATATTTTAACTACTGGTTTAATGAATAATTTTCCTATTTTGATTTAGTAAAATTATGAATTGTGGAGTGTCTCAGTGTTATTTAAAATAATTACTTTGCATAAACTAAAAGTTGATCAGTTAATCTTCAATGATCTATCAGCTATTTGAGTCTCACGGTTATTCATGACAGCAATGCATTTGAGCCATTTTTCTTAAAAAAAGGTTTCATTTGAGCCATTATTGTCAAAAGTTTCCATCCTAATGATGTTAGAGCAAGTAAAAAGGTGACCCATCTTTTTTTTTTGCAAAACTTGTCAAAATAGAAACACTTCCAATTCAAGCGAGTGAAGCGCCTCGCTGCGGTAAAAGGATGAACTACTTGTTGACGATTTGTTTATTTCATAGAATGGTTTTATATACTTTTATTATAGGTTTTATGCACAAATTTTCCCCGACTAGAATCAATAAAATGATGAATTGTTGAGTGTCTAATCTTCAGATTCACAGCATGACTAAACCTTTACCATTTGGTGTTGCCAGACGATTCCAATTTGAGTAGAGCGAAAAGAAAGGAAAAGAAATGAGCTGCGAATACCTCACTGTGGACCGTCATTAAGTATTATTCGTTTATGAAGGTTTTACTGAGAACTTTGTCAACAATACTTTTTAGGTTCCATAAGACATTGAGTAACTCATTTACAATGAGTAGTGCTTAAGAGGTATTTATACAAGAGCTGTTAAAGACATAGTGAAAGTAAACGAGTTTACCTCGCACGAATCTTTGCCTCCATCAGCATATCCTGCGCAGATAAAGATATCAGGAATATCTTCGACGAATCCTGCTTGTCTGTACATGCTCTCACATAATTTGTTTGTTATTACTGGTAGAGAAACTTCCTGAATAACATCAGGAAGGGGACCATCTGAAAATAAAACAATAACCATAAAAGTAACATAATAGAAGACAAATATTTAGCAGAAAAATAGGTTTTACATGAAACCATAATATCAATGTTCTGAACCAAAACCTGCAAATTTTCTTTAGCCTAATTCAGTGTTAAGCTGTTACATGTTACTATTCAAGTATTGGTTTACTTTGGTCTAATATTTTTAATAATGCAATAATGCAATTCTATCAAACAAAACTTGTGATTTACAGTTGGACTGGTAAACTATGATTGCTTATAACTTATGATCATGATTAAAACTTAATAATAAGTTATGATTACTTGCTAATAATTTCATTTTGCCAACATTATTGAAAAGCTGCATTATATGTAAAGTTTTTTTATTTGGAGTTGGGTATTGAAATTGGAGACTTGAGCATTAATCATTTGAGCGATCTTTTGGAATTTTTAAAGATAAGCTTTACTTTATTTTATTTTTACTTTTCTCGTGTTTGTGTATGAAGGAGCCGGTTATCGCTTCGTGGGATTAACATTTCGACACTAAATAATTCTGACACTTAACATTGTCATTAACATTTTGACACTAAATAATTCTTCACAGAATTTAAACCAGGAAGTTTTGTTTCCACGCAGAAAGGGAATATTTTTTGTTGAGCTTCTCTTAGATTTATATGAAATAATGTGTACATTTTATCTAAAATGTGGAAGATCTAAATCTGAAATATGTCAACTTTCATCGGTGAATATCATTATTCTCATAATTACCCAAAAAATTGTAATATTTGACCAAAATATTTATCATGCACTATTTCATGTTAATTTAATCATTGATATTTTAATATTTATTTGATAGTTCAGTATCCGATTAGAGCAGATTAGAAAAAGCATTGTTGGGGATACCAGGAAGATATGTACTGAGCAGGCGCCCTTAATTTTGAAAAAAAAGAAACCCAACAGTGCAAGGAATACCGGGAAAGTGCTTGTGTATAATGACACTTGATGTGTGCAAGTGTATAGTGACACTTGACAGTAAAAAAAAACATCTTAATAGGAAATGCTAAGAAATAAAATAAAAAATTAGAGTAAGGAATACCGCAAAATGGAACTTAACTTAAAAACCTTCGTTGTAGTGAATACCGGAAAAAGATTTTCCATGTTAAGATCATGAGGGTAGAAAATACCGTTTATTATTATTGCCACCCCTGCGCAGTATTACCAACACTGATGTTTTTCCTAATTTATCATATCTGATATTAAAATATCGAATACATTTTGTAATACCGATAAATATATGAATAGCAAATCAGATCTAGCATATATTTCGGACATTTAGCATAGTGACTGATCGATTGTTGACATTCATGGATGAAAGTCGACAATCATCAATTTCGATTTTTCACACTGATATGTATTTGATATATTAGTTTTGTACCTTCGTAAAGGCGTCCCCAGCCAGTAACTGTAGCGTATTTGCCGACGTATGTGTTATTTCCTGCTGGAACACATATAGGCAGGATATTCCTTTGGAATGTGACAGGTTCATAGAATCTCAGCAAAGCCAAATCATATTCGAACGTTCTTCTATCGAACTGTGGGTGTGATGCAACTATCTGAACTCGTCTCTCAACAAATGGGAGTGGTTCATTTTCATGACTGATATCGTATTCTCCTAGACGAAGAAGTATATCCGTCAACGGCACACTGAAAAAAAAATGTGGATATATTACACCTCTAATATACATAAAAAAAGTTAACAAAATCAGACAAAGACTCTAAAATATAAATTACAGGTTTTCTTTAATGACCGCCCTTAACACATATCCATCCACGCGATGAAAATTCGCCATTTGACTGTCGATCACCAGTATCCATATGGTAAAAACTTGTCGTTTGTATAATGCAGTAGATATTTGATTATCAAGAAATGCTGGCATTTAGTCATTGACGTCGTAATTCCGGATGAATACGTGTTAATAGAGCATTGGTGGATCAGAAGATAGAGCACTCGTCTCCCAATAAAGGGACCCCAGTTCGGATCCCAGCGATGGCTGATAGATGCAAATTCCCCTCCCAGCTTGCACCGACCACAGGGCTGACGTAAAAATATCCTTAGCGGTAGATGAATCTTGGGTTAGAGCCCCCTTGCAGCCAGGATAACCGTGAGAGGTTTTCGTGGTTTTTTTTCTCACCTTGTACAGCAAATGCGGGTAAGTTCCCTCAAAAAGTCCTCCACCAAAGGCAAATTTCTCCTAATACTTGATCTAAGAGTTTCCTGGTCTTCTGGACTGAGTTCGAAATTGCAAGGCTACGGAGTTGAACATTGATAGTCGTAAACTCAGAATCGGGTCGGCTGTTAAACGACGGTTGTAAAATAAAGTAAAATATGTTTCAATAAGGGAGGCGTTCAGAGCTAAAGTGCAACAAGTCTCAAATTATAATTACGAAATTGAAGTTTGTTGACTCTAATTTAATTAAATGTTATTAGGAATTTTAGCGTTATATTTTCAGAAAATAGTGTTTGAATATAAAATAAAATATAGACTATGCTTTTGAATTAAGATAATGATTAGTTGTGGATTTAAGTTATTGTTCTTATCTTTAGAGAGAGTAACAACAAGCAGTTCCAAAATTGTTCGGAATACGGTTGCAATAGTGAATGACTATGGAATCAGTTACCACACTTTGAGAAGTTTTCCTCAAATTTCGTTTTCATATTCCAGGAAAAAACCATGCGAAACTGTATGTTTCATTTTTTTTTTTTTTTACTAGTCAAAGACATGAAACAGCGCAACAATTAAATTTATTGATGACCTGATTGAGCTTAAGCATAAAATATAACTTTATTTTTAGATTCTTTTAATAAATTTCTCACTAGAAAGGACTTTTTTGCAAGCAAACTAACAATTTAACGAAAAAAAAAAAGTTTTTATTTTTATTTGCATTTTCTTCTTCTCCACTGCTACGATTTGATTGATGGCAAGGTGCATTTCACTTGCTTTAGCTTCCAATGGCTGTTTGAAGGCTTATTTAAGTGCTTTAGGGTTCCATAAAAATCTGCCTGGATTCATTAAAAATTGTTCCTCTGTAGTGTTTTGAACGGTGAGATTAAAAATATGAGAATTCAGTGCTGATTTTTGTATCATTATTAAATGCTGCACTTTTTTTATGAGTTTTTATTTGTATATAATAACATAAAAGATCTTAATAAAAATGCAAAACATAGCTATCATGTTTTTAAAAGCTATTCATTTTATGAAGTGTATGGATATTTGATTTTAGTTCTGCCTATAATATACATACTTTGATTAGTTAAGATTAATTTTAAAAGCAAGCAAACTGAATGCGTGCATTTAATTTTAATATGCCGACCCGTAGAGAACGGTCATGGAACTTGCCTTGCATCAGAAAGGTTCTGGGTTCAAATCCCGGACAAGACATGGATGTTCTTTCATTCTCTGTACTATCTGTCCTTACTGTGGGAGCAACGTTGGACCACCTAATATGGTGCCTCTGAAAGAGTAGCCAAAAAATATGCCCTTCAGCTGCCTGTATTGACGAAATGTCATTCCCCAGGTGGGCATTCGAGATTTTTTTTGTTGATATTTCAGCAGATAAAGATACCTTGCTGCTGCTCGCTATGTTAATTAAATTTCTGTTGAATTAATTATTATTTTAAATTCTTAAATCCCCCCCCCATTGGGTTTCAACCATTCACTGTCTGTTACCCGTATATTATAACTTACTAAATAATGTTTAGTAAGTTACATAGTAAGTTTTGAAGCTGTAGTCAAAATAGGAGTGAATAAATAGTTCTATATCAGTCTTTTATTCTTTATTTACTTAATTGCGTGTTGAAATTTATAAATTCTTATTAGTAATGATGATTCATAAAATATATAATTAGCAAAAATTATAAGCAATTTTTATAAGTGCCATTCCCGAGGGAAGAAGTCGCAGCCAGGCTGTGCAAGAAAAAAAAATTGTTAAAAAAGATTAGAAAAAACAAAGGTTGCACTCTGTATTCGTTCGTAATTTCGGTAAACATCTTCGTTTTTATATTTAACCTTTTCAACGTTTTTCACCTAATGAATATGACTCAACCTACACGTTTTTAAACAATGCGGGCATTGAAGTTTCACGGAAACCAGACGTCTACAGGCGGAAATAGTTCTCAGGCGTTTCTTGAAAGGTAATATCAGAACCACAAGGGGTCGATGGCCCTTTCGCCGACTTAATAAAAAGTAGGGTACTATTCCAATTTCGAGATAAATAGTATTCAAGAGCAATTTAACACCCACAAGAACTTCATTTTCTAAAAATGCAACTGATCATTATCGTTTCAAAGAAAGAATAGGTTTTTATTTTTAACACAGTTTCCAACTTCAGCATTGTCAAGAACCCAGTGAACTATTTATTTTTAATAATAGTCGCAAACGGAAACAGTGTTTTTGTGTTTCTGAGTTTTTATGGTTCATTTAATTCCAANGAAAGTGAATCTTTTTTGTTGAGCTTCTCTTAGATTTATATGAAAAAATGTGTACATTTTATCTAAAATGAGGAAGATCTAAATCTGAAATATGTCAACTTTCATCGGTGAATATCATTATTCTCATAATTACCCCAAAAAAGTGTGATAATTGCCCAAAATATTTGCCATGCCCTATTTCATATTAGTTTAATCATTGATATTTTAATATTTATTTGATAGTTTAGTATCCGATTAGAGTACAGTAGAAAAAACATTGTTGGGGATACCAGGAAGATATATACTGAGCAGGCGCCCTTAATTTTGTAAAAAAAAAAAGAAGCCCAACAGTGCAAGGAATACCGGGCAAGTGCTTGTGTATAATGACACTTGATGTGTGCAAGTGTATAGTGACACTTGACAGTAAAAAAAACATCTTTATAGGAAATGCTGAGAAATAAATTAAAAAATCAGAGTAAGGAATACCGCAAAATGGAACTTAACTTATAAACCACAACACTGATGTTTTTCCTAATTTATCGTATCTGATATTAAAATATCGAATAAATTTCTTAATACCGATGAATATATGAATATCAAATCAGATCTAGCATATATTTCGGACATTTACCATAGTGACTGATTGATTGTTGGCATTCACGGATGAAAGTCGACAATCATCAATTTTGATCTTTCACACTGATATGTATATCATATTTATTAGTTTTGTACCTTCATAAAGGCGTCCCCAGCCGGTAACTGTAGCGTATTTGCCGACGTATGTGTTATTTCCTGCTGGAACACATATAGGCAGGATATTCCTTTGGAATGTGACAGGTTCATAGAATCTCAGCAAAGCCAAATCGTATTCGAACGTTCTTCTATCGAACTGTGGGTGGGATGCAACGATCTGAACTCGTCTCTCAACAAATGGAAGTGGTTCATTTTCATGACTGATATCGTATTCTCCAAGACGAAGAAGTATATCCGTCAAAGGCACACTGAAAAAAAAAAAGATATATATTACACCTCTAATATATATGTAAAAAAAAGTTATCAAAATCAGACAAGGACTCTAAAATATAAATTCTAGGTTTTCCTTAATGACCGCCCTTAACACATATCCATCCACACGAGGAAAATTCGCCATTTGGCTGTCGATTACCAGTAGACATATGGCAAAAATTTGTCGTTCTAATCCCAGAGATGGCTGGTCGATACGAATTCCGCACAGAACACAGTGCTGATGAAAATATCCTTGGTGGCAGACGAATCATGGGTTAGATCCCCCTCACCGTCACCCCTAACCGTGAGAGGGTTTTGTGTTTTTTTTCTCACCTTGAAACGCAAATGTTGGTAAGTTCCCTCAAAAAGTACTGCACTTAAGACAAATTTCACCTAATACTTGATCTAAAAGTTTCCTTGTCTTCTGGATTAGGTTCAAAATTACAAGGCTATGGAGTTGAACATTGATAGTCGTAAACTCAGAAACGGGTCAGCTGTTCAACGGCGGTAGTAAAATAAAATAAAATACTTTAATAAGTGAGCTAAAGTGCAACAAGTCTTAAATTATAATTACGAAATTAAAGTTTGTTGACACTAATTTAATTAAATGTTGTTTATTCATGAAATTTGTTCCTTATAGTTTAGGAAATATACTGCAAAATTTTAAACAAAACTACATTAATAATAAAATATTGACTAGTTTTAAGGTCTTCTGGTACAACTGCGTTTTGTAATTATTAGGAACTTTAGCGTGATATTTTCAGAAAATAGTGTTTGAATGTAAAACAAAATATTGACAATATTTTCGAATTAAGATAATGTTTAGTTGTCGATTTAAGTTACCACATTCTTATCTTTAGATAGAGTAACAACAAGCAGTTCCAAAATAGTCCGGAATAGGGTTGCAATAGTGAATGACTACGGAATCAGTTACCGCACTTTGCGAAGTCTTCCTCAAATTTCGTTTTTCTTATTCCAGGACAAAACCATGTAAACTGTATGTTTCTTTTTATGTTTTTTTACTAGTCAAAGACATGAAACAGCGCAACAATTAAATTTATTGATGATCTGATTCAGCTTAAGCATGAAAATATAACTTTATTTTTAGTTTCTTTTTATAAATTTCTCACTAGAAAGGACTTTTTTGTAAGAAAACTAACAATTTAACGAAATAAAAAAAAACGTTTTTTTTTGCATTTCCTTCTTCTTCACTGCTACGAATTGATTGATGGCAAGGTGCATTTTACTTGCTTTAGCTTCCAATAGCTGTTTGAAGGCTTATTTAAGTGCTTCCGGGTTCCATAAAAATCTACCCGGATTCATTAAAAATTGTTCCTCTAGTGTTATGTTAGCATCCTCTGCAGTGTTTTGAATAGCGAGATTTAAAAAATGAGAATTTAGTGCCTCTCAGTGCCTGAGGCCATTTGAATTGGTCCTGACAGGTTATTCTGGATCTTGACTTTTAGCTTAGTTTCGTTCAAAGTAATTGTGATCAGCTTAAATAATTTTTCAGGTATGTTAAACTCGCTCATAATCGATTCTGCAAGCAATTTTCAGTTTACTAAGTCATGAGCTGTTTAAAGATCAATAAACAAATAATAGGTTTGGATATTGAATTTTTTTCGATAATTTATCTTAAGTTGAAGATGTTTCGTTGTTGATCTTCCCTTATGCAAAACAGCATTGATGATCATCAATGATACTATCAATATATGCTACGAATATTTTGAATAGTTTGTGGAGAATACTTCACAAAAGATGAAAAGCAGGCTAATGCCTTTGTAGTTTGAATACTTCTGACATCCAGGACTCCATCCATCCATTGTAATAGGCAAGTGATGCTCATTCTCCATTCCTCAGGTAAAACTTCAGGATTCCGTACAGAATTGATAATGTGGTGGATTTTCGTAACATTATTAAATGCTGCGCTTTTTTATGAGTTTTTATTTGTATATAAAAACATGAAAAATCTTAATAAAAGTGCCAAGCATAGCTATCATGTTTTTAGAATTTTTTATTTTATGAAGTATATGGATATTTGATTTTAGCTCTACTTATAATATAGATACTTTGATTAGTTAAGATTAATTTTGCAAGCAAGCAAACCGAATGCGTGCATTTAATTTTAATATGCCGACCGATTTGTGTAGGGGACAGGGAACTGGCCTTGCATCAGAAAGGTTTTGGGTTCAAATCCCGGACAAGGCATGGATGTTCTTTCATTCTTTGTACTATCTGTCCTTACTGTGGGAGCAACGTTGGACCACCTAATATAGTGCACTTGAAAGAGTGGCCAAAAAATATGCTCTTCAGCTGCCTGTATTGACGAAATGTCATTCCCCAGGTGGGCATTGGAAAATTTTTTCTGTTGATATTTCAGCAGATAAAGATACCTTGTTGCTGCTCGCTATGTTAATTAAATTTTTGCTTAATTAATTATTATTTTAATTTTTTAAAATTATTTTTTTCAATTAATTTTGGGTTTCAACCATTCACTGTCTGTTACCCGTATATTATAACTTTTTGAATAATCTTTAGTAAGTTACATAGTTAGTAAGTTTTGGTGCTGTAGTCAAAATCGGAGTGAATCAATATTTCTATATTAGTCATTTATTCTTTATTAACTTAATTGCGTATTGAAATTTATAAATTCTTATTAGTAATAATGATTCATAAAATATATAAGTAGCAAAAATTATAAGCAATTTTTATAAGTGCCATTCCCGAGGGGAGAAGTCGCAACCAGGCTGTGCAAGAAAAAAAAATCGTTAAAAAAGATTAAAAAAAAAACAAAGGTTGCACTCTGTATTCGTTCGTAATTTCGGTAAACATCTTCGTTTTTATATTTAACCTTTTCAACGTTTTTCACCTAATGAATATGACTCAACCTACACGTTTTTAAACAATGCGGGCATTGAAGTTTCACGGAAACCAGACGTCTACAGGCGGAAATAGTTCTCAGGCGTTTCTTGAAAGGTAATATCAGAACCACAAGGGGTCGATGGCCCTTTCGCCGACTTAATAAAAAGTAGGGTACTATTCCAATTTCGAGATAAATAGTATTCAAGAGCAATTTAACACCCACAAGAACTTCATTTTCTAAAAATGCAACTGATCATTATCGTTTCAAAGAAAGAATAGGTTTTTATTTTTAACACAGTTTCCAACTTCAGCATTGTCAAGAACCCAGTGAACTATTTATTTTTAATAATAGTCGCAAACGGAAACAGTGTTTTTGTGTTTCTGAGTTTTTATGGTTCATTTAATTCCAATAAGTCACATTTTGAATAAGAGTATCAAGACATTGAAGATTTTTATGCATCTCATTTATTTAACCGGAAAGAATTTTTTTCATCAGTAACTTATTTCTGATTTAAAACTGCTGGCTGATATTTTGCGATGTTCTATAAACACAATTTTAAATTAATCTTCTTAGATTTACAAATTTGTGTTGCTCAATATTAAAAAATTGTAAATGCCATCTCTGTTTTGTGCGTTCAATTTTATGTTACATTTTGCTTCGTTGCACAGAAATTATTACTATTAAAAACTTAAAACTACAAAGGTGTGTAGACATTAAACACATAAATATTTAAGATTCGATAATTCAAGAATTTATTGTTAAACTTGTTGTAAACAATAGGAAGCGGGCCACTCTATATGTCACAGAAAGACAATTACTTAGTTGAAATTTGACAAACTGAAAGAGCTATATTTGCTTATAAGTTTAAAATGAGTATTTTCTAAAATGCCAATTTGTTCGAAAGTTATTGCAATACTAAATGCTATTTTATGCGATTTTTTTTCTTCCTCTTTTTTTGCTTTATGTTACATTTTGTTGTGCTGCGCGAAAACTTTAAAGCTTAGAAGTTAGGAAGAACAAATATGTGTAGGAAAATTTACAAAGAGTACGATGGAGTAGGAAAAAAAAAGATTCGATTATTTGTTACAGAATTATTAACTTTTAAACTCATTGTAAAAGTATACAATGCAGGAATATATCTATCGCTTGCTGAAGTGCAACAACGTGGTTGAAATTTCAAGTGCGGAATGGACTATTTTCATTTAGGATCTTATTTTTTAAAAACCTTTCACTTTTTTTTAAAGATTTACTTTGCTATTTTCATTCTTCAATAATATTAGAAATTTTCTTCTTATCCCTATTGTATTACAAAGCCTATTCATTTTATATAACTAATAATTTTCACATACATTAAATCGATGACTTACAACACTGATATATCTTATCATACTTGAAGCGCAAACCAAGAAAAATAGCAAGTACCATATTGTGGGAAAACATAAGTAGCATAAATCTCTGTATTTCTTTAAAAGGAAATACTTAATAAAATTTAAATTTATTTTGTTCTTTGTAATGAATAGTTGGTATCCCATTCCTATTCAAAGCATGTTGATTCAATTTTTTTTATTTAACTTCTACATTTAAAATTTACAAGATCTTTTAACAAAGTTACTGTCATATCACTGCTTAGAACGTAAACACGTTGATCAGTTTTTGCTTATTTTTAATTTAACCTTAAAATATAATATTACGGTATTTATTCCAAATGGAATAAATTAAATTTAGCTTATGCGTTGAAAAAAAACAGTTGGTATTATATTTTTGTTTAAGAAATTCTTAAAACTCCTAAACAATTATTTCTATAAGATAAATGGAAATTTTTTTCCAGATTGAAAATATACCAAATAAAAATTACGTTTAATTAAAAGTTTATTTTATCCAAAATATGAGAAATACTTATGCGAAAAGCAAACGAAGGAACAAAATCAAGACTCTAAGCTTCGATAATAATACTTAATAAGGATTTGATGATTTAAAAATGATGCATAATAAAAATTTTTTGTTCAAGGGATTATGATCTAAAGTGGTTTTAACCTGAAAGAAATATAATCATAAAAATTATTTATAGAAAAAACACCTTTTAAGGTTTTTTTTTTGAATATATGAATTTACAAAAGTTGAATTTAAAGATGAACATTTGTACCAGCTATTACTCGTAAATAATAAAAATATTTTATGCAACTAAAGTGAAAAAAAATTGAGCTAAATTGTAATTTGTAGAAATTAATATTAAATCTTTCTCGGGAACATTGAGAGTATTTAAAAAAAATGTTGAAACGGTCTTTGTAAAATTGAATCAAATCCTGATAAGCACTATCTGAAATAAGGTTGAATTTATTTTATTGTTTCAACTAAAGGAAATAAAAAAGGGATATAAAAAATAAAATAAATAAAAAAAAAACTAATAAAAAATGAAATAAATAAATAAAAACAGCGTACCATTAAAAAACTGCAATAGTCAATGGCGGTCAAACCATTCCCAAGCAGTTTCCGGAAAAAATCATGCACACATAAATCGGTTTATTAAACTAAAAGTTAAGACACGTGCTCCGTTTTCCATTAAATTCCATTGAAACAGATAGCGTATAAAATAGCTATCGGATTTAATACAGTGATATTAAAAAGAAGAAAAAAAATAGTTCATTCGATCGCATAGCTTAGTTGACCGCTTAAACTTTCCTTAGATTCAAGGTCAGGAGAGACGAGGTCACGATTGAATCTTCTCTTTAAAAACTTGTCAACTGTTTACCTGCAAATCAATGAGTGCGTACACGTGAATCGACTCGCTAATAAACAATGAAGAGGAAATTCTCGTGAATTAGCCGTAATTAGGGTTTTACGTGGAGTATTAAAAGGTGAAAACAATAATGAGAGTAATTTAATGTGATTACATGAATCGCATTATTTCATTGTTTGTGACAAGGAATTTATGTTTTTGCGTAATAAGAGAGACATCATTTTAGAAACAACAGGGATTAAGATAGACCTTTCAAAAGATGATTTGAAGTGAATGGATTTGAAGAAATTATCGAAAGTTGTTAGCTTTTGGTGTTGATAATTTGAAATAGAAAAAACACTATCGCTTTAAATTTCAATACACGCATCACTTTTATAGTTTTTTCAATAAATAAGCAAAATAATGCACTTTTGCGTGAACATAAGTTAAATACAAACACAGAAATATAACTCATTGCAGAATTTAGAACACGAAAAAGACGCAATGCAAACGTGGAATATTCCTCATATTACAGAATTAGAATACACAACAGAGTTTTGCCTTATATTTTTCCTTATTCAAAGTACTAAAGTCTATTAGTACTGTAAGTACTTTTAACCCATCGTATATGATATATACCCAAAATATTACTTGAAAATGGAACAATATCTTTTGACTAAAAATACTACAATGTATACTACTTGTTTAAAAACTTCAATCGCTTCAAAAATAAACATATATGAAAAAAACAGTCAACATGTTTCAAGCTCGTCAAAAACGGGTGCTTATTTTTTAAGAGCTTGAAACATGTCGACTGTTTTTTTCATATATGTTTATTTTTAAGACGATTGAAGTTTTCAATCGATCAATATATTACCGCTTCAGTTTATTGAATTTATTATTCAAAAAGGAATAATTTTTAAAAACATTCCTAACGAGAACTACACCTGAAGTTTAATATCGGTACCTTGAGATTATATACCATGTAAATTTACTTCAAAATTAATAATGTAACGAGCGAATAACTTAACCGGAACTGTACCACTCTTTAATTTCTGCTGCGAGTGAGTTCTCAGTTTACAGGATCTTAGATTTTCCCTTCAATTTTTAATTTCTCTTTCTTTTGAAGTAAATATTTACATGTGTTAAATTTTGTTTTGTTTTAAGCTTTCATTAAATAGATTTTTTTTGATGTAAACTGATTGCTAAATTCTTCAATAAAACTATTTCTGTTCTTATAATATTTTGTTTTCTATGCCACGAAGTAAAACTACCTCAGACTGGTATAATAAGATATTTAATGGTAGCTTATTTCAGTTAAACCATAGTAATGCATAGTCAAATTTGAAAATTGAAATATTTTTATACCTCATATTAGGTTTGTATCAAATCATAGTTAATCAATCTACGAAATTTCTAACATTATCATAGAACACAAATTGCTTCGTTCTTGATAGCTACAAAATTGTTTCTTTTCACCCGTTTTTTTGTTTTGTGAAATTAGTGAAACAAGTTCCGTGACTTTTTATTAAATTTTGGGTAATTTTTTCATGTTATGAAAGTTTAAAAATTGTCACCAAATTAGTAAGCCAACCCCGATAAATATAGATTCGAATCTTCAAAATGAATTCTAAAGTTATCAGTTCAAAAAAATTTCTAGGTGAATTTGTGTTAATTACGGCACGGACTGTGCTTATTCTAACCTGAAACATCCAAAATTTCGAACATGGTAGTAAAAAAACAACTTGTTTCGTTTTTGATAGCTAAAAAATTGCTTCTTTTAACCCGTTTTTTTGTTTTATGAAATCAGTGAAACAAGTTCCATGACTTTTTATTGAATTTTGGGTAATTTTCTCATGTTATGAAAGTTTAAAAATTGTCACCAACTTAATAATCCTACCCCAATAAAATGTATAGCTTAGAATCTTCAAAATAAATTCTAAAGTTATTCGTTCAATTTTTTTTTAAATAAGTGAATCTGATTTAAGCACGGCCTGGGAACGTGTTCATGCATCTTTTTGATATTTTTTTTATATTGCAGTTATGATTTTGAGTATTATTGCAGAAATATATATTTTACATCGCAGACTTGAAATATTACATAAATATACAAACAAAGAAATATAGAAATGATAAATTCAATGTTTTTTTTCTTATTAATTTGTACGATTTCTTACTTTTCAACGCAATGTGCTGCCGTGATAGCCCAAAATTCGTTAAGAAGTGTGGCGCCACATTTATGAAGGAAAGCATTTTTCTTCCATTGCCTTAAAGAGACCTAAAAGAATACATATATAAAATAAAAAAATATAATTTTAAAGCCATTTTTATACAAAAAGCAAGTTTTTTTTCCATTTCAAAGTTAATAACAAACAATAAAAATATGCAAGAATATTATTAAACGCTTGACTTTATTGTGCATTATCGTGAATATACTTTGATAATATAAAATTCAAGATAATTTGTTTTGTCATGTTTTAGGTATTTAATGAAATAAAATTCGATAAATCTTTTGATAAATTTAGATAAGATTTGATAAATTTGAAAAAAAAGAAAAAAAATTTTTTTAGAGAAAGATTTAACGTTTATTTCTACACATTAATTTTTAGTTTGTAGTTTATTATATATTTGAGGAAAGAAAAATGTTTAAACAGTTTTAAGTGATCTAAGGGCCGTTCTTAAATGTTATCATACTTTTTCAATATTTTTAATCTCCCTCCTCTCCTACGTCACGACTTCCCCATAACGACATGCTCTCCCTTGTCACACATCACACTATATTATACGCAAAAACATATGATAAGGGCAGTTCACAAACAAAACACGCTTTACAGATTATATATTAAATTTTATTTTTAAATTTAAACTACTCTCTTCAATGATATTTACGAGCTTAACAATAACGGTGATTAGATGTGAAAAAGATACATAAGAGAAATATAATATAAATAATATAAAAATAACTACTGGTTTTAAATAATTTTGTTTTTACCCAAATGTGGGATGTCTCATTTCTTGTTGCTCCCTCTCAACCCTTGTTACAAACCGTCACATTTTATTGAACCCCTTTCAAAGCGTGGTATCATTTATGGAAGACCCTTTTAATAGTCATTAATATAAGTCTTGTAGTCCAGGCTCATTTTATACTTTCGAACTATTTCTTAAAAATTTATTAGAAAGTTTCACACGATTAATAAACTAAATTGCTTTAACTGTCAAAATTGTGATTTTTATTATTATCAGATTCTATATCATTTTACTACATTTGTGCTTATATTATTGCTTCATTCGCTCTATGTAATTAGTATATAACATTTAATAGAAAGCATTGATTTTTGTTTACTATTTTTAATGATTTGAAGGCCCTCTTGTGATAGTATAAGCCACAAAAAATAAAAATTAAGAAATAAATAAATTAGAATTAACTGTAGTGGATATTTTTTCATTTTAGTAATAACCTTCTATTTAAAAAATATCAAACCTAAATTAGTTGTGTTTTTAATTATAAATATGACTTAACACTAGGTTGCTTAAATAAAACTGCCTTTAATTTCCTTAACTGCCTTTAATTAATTTTAATGACACAATTTCTTTGAATTTTGTACAGCATATAATTTTTTTATTGTTAATATTTACTAATAACTTGCTATATAACTGTAAATGATATAAAAATATTAAAAATTGATTTTAAACAAATTTCTTTACGCATTATTTATTCTTTTACAATCCCGTCATTTTGACTGCTTTTGGGCAATATACATACTAAGTTTCAGTCGTTCTAGTTTTAACGAAAAAACTTTGTTTCCCTTTCTTAAAACATTGAAAATGAGCTTACTTTTTTTTATCGAAATAAACCCTTTTATTTAAGTTATCTTGCATAGTCAAAAGTGTAAGTTTTGTAATAATTTGCATATTTTGTAATTTTCCATTCATAATCAACTGTCATATAAAGTTTAATTATTATGTAAATTATACACAATAAAATCTAATTTGATTTAAATCACTGATATGGAAGATTTATTTGATTAATTTGGATTCGTCATTAGTTTGAATCACATTAGTAAACTGAGTCTTTGAATCATTTCGATTTATATTATCCAATTATAATGTGTTCAAGAATATAGCATGGTACTTAACAATTATAACACACATTTGTCTATAAAAATGAAATAGTAAGTTAAATGTAAAACAGTCACGTACCACCCAAGGCCATTCTCCAAAGTAAGAATTACCACCACCTACTATTCGTCCAACAGGACCAGGTTTGGGGCGTCCACATACTGCAAAAAACAAAAAATATTACATTAAGGCATGACATTTTTATCAGGTTTGTTTCTATATTCATAATAACGGAACAAAAATAGTTAATAAAATTTATTCTAAATTCAATTTTGATGGTAAAGAGGTTTGTTTCAATTTTTGGTGTTTTAAAATCTACATGCCGTCCCAATTGAAACTGATTAGTTTTTTTAATAAAAAAAACTATTACAGGAAAACCGTTATAGTTAATAAAAAATAGTTCTTACCAAAAACTCTTGTGACTGGGCATGAATGTTCTTTTCCGAGTTTTGGCTGTTAGTTCGGAAATTTTGGACAGATGGCGCTTTACGCTCTTACTACACTTTACTGTACTAATTTATTCCCTTCGACATATTGTTGCTGCTTATGGTGGATATTTCGAAAATATTGCAATTCCATTCATGAAGAGAGTTCAAATAAAATTAAGAAGATAAGGCAAAGAAACATAACTAAATTATATTTAATTATTTTTCCTTGATTTACAGGTTTTCTGTCTGCAGTGCCATCTGTCAGAAAATTTTTAAACTTAATCCAGCAACTCTGGGAGCAAACAAAGATGTTGCAACAGTTGTCAATATCAAAATAAACAATAATACAGTTCCATTAATCAGTCTACTATTTAAATTGGAGCTGGTTTGGAATAAAACTTTGAGTATATTTGATTGCTCAACACTATGGTTTAAAATTGATAGCGTTTTTACCCTTCACTCTAATATTAGTTTGGATCCCTAATGTGTGCACTTTTTTCACTTCATTTTTGACAAAAATAACACAAATAAATACTGAGAGGGGCTATTACGAAACACCCAGTAATAATTAAAGAACCATACTATAATAAATAACTATGCAAAATAAAACAGTGAAATTTCAATTTATATAAAAAAAATAAATAGTTAAAATTCATGAAAAAATATCAAAATTATTAAAAATTCATCTAAAGCTAAATTAGCCAAATAAGACAGTTGTGCAGACTCACATACTTGGACTGAAATTTGGCTTTAATACAGCTTATCGAATAAAGATATTTGGGTTTTGTTTGAGCTAAACAAAATACTCATGTTGAATTAAAATAAATACATTATTTTCATTTGTGTTAGTTTTTTAAATATCGTTTGTAGAACTAAAATTACGAGAGAAACTTTAAACGCGTTTTCTCAAAACTCATTTTTAAAAAGCAAACAAGCAAGTGCTATTATGTGACGTGTTATTCTCTAAATTGGCTTTTTACTGAATAGAACTGTAGTTTGTATAAACCCACTACCAGGGATTTAGAAAAATTCAAAATTTTTGGGAGCCTAGTTCTATTTTTAGGAGCCTGTGTGCAATGGGATGAAATCAGCATAGGAGCTATTTTCTTTTATTAAATTACATCAAAACTAGTAATCTTATTCAATATTATAGAAAAAGTAAATAAATTGGTCAGAAGGAGGTTATATAATTCTAATTATACAAGATAAGAAATATAACAGACATACTAGTTTTTTTTTAGAAATAGGATATTTTTTAAATTGAAAATACTAAGATTTTTAGTTTTGGAGCTAAAAACAGGTTTAAATTTTATTAAAATATCAGGTGCAAGCTACGATTTCATAGGTACCATGGCGTATTTTTTCAATAGTATTTAATTAGAGTGTTTTAAGGATTTTGCGGGATTATAACCGTAAAAATTACGGTTCATCAGATTTTTCGTTCCGTAACATGTTCCGGAAAAAATGGATTTCACAATAAAAAGCAACGGTATTCTTAGTGCCGTTACTTTTTACCCTAATTTGATCCAGAATTTCTTACAGTGTACATCGTTCGAATTTTATTGTTCGCGTACTTTTTTAATTTAATTTTGATAAGTGTTTTAAAAATAAATACTGGGGGTTTCAATTAGAGAACTTTCGCTAAGAAATAAATAACTATACAGTCAACAACCATACAAAATAAAATATTGCCAATTTTCAACATATTGCACAGTATTTATTTATCTTATAGAAGCAATATACAAATATATATATATATATATATATTTGTATTGCTTCTTATTATTTAAGAATATGCTATTTGTATAATATAAGTCTTTATATGGCGATATATTAAAAAAATTTTCGTATTTAATCATTTTTCAGTGAAAAAAATATATTTATATAAGAGAATGCAATTATTGCATTTAAAAGACAAAATATACAATTAAAAAACAAATTATATGAGAAATATGATTTATTTTAATTTATCTACACGCTTACGTAATAAATATAATTAAAAAGAGAGAGAAAACTCTTGTATGCAGATTGCAGGTGTTCTGTTATATTGTTAATTGCCGCTTTGCCCTTCACCTTGACCTTGTATCGTTTTACGAAACAAGAGAAACGATTTGCATAACTTAAAACGCATTTAATTTGAAGTTTAAAAATAGCAATGGCCTATTGTGTAATCTTTTATTATTTTTTTTATCTTGCACTTTTAACATAGAACAGTTTAAAATCCATAATATCACATAAATGAGTTTTAAATTTATTTTACATTATGATGTTTTAAATAGTGGAGAAAGTTAGCTAAGGGAAAACTCATCAATAATCTATATGATTTTTTTTACAATATTTTTTAACATTAGTATAAGTTTGCTAAGATATCGATAAGTCATATGGATTTTTATCAGTATGTCATATCAAACTTTATTTTCCTACAATATAATTTTCTTAATATTGGTACGAATTTGTTAAGGTAAAATTTATCAATTAGTCATATGGATTAATTTATTTTAATATAATTATTTCTTACTTATGATAAACATTTGCTAAGACATAAGTTATTTATAAGTTATATGAAGAGCTATTCTCTTATGAGATAATTTTTTAAATATTATTATAAGTTTAATAAGACAGAATTCATTCACAAGTTAGGTAAAACATTATTTTTTTATTATAAAATATTCGAGTATAAAATATTCGAGTTCAATGATGAAATTTATAGAAAAATTATGTATCACACTACCGCTATGAAATTTAAATAATTTTACTTCAACATACAACAATCTTATCTTTTTTTTAAAATTAGGAAAAGTTTTAACTGAAAAAAGTTTTACACGTATTATTTACAACACGATTAATGTAGTAAATCTGTATTAAAACGTTTATGCTTTATGAAATGAGTTAAAAAAATATTTAACAAGTTGTTGAATCCTATTTTCTTTTATTCACTGTTTTTATTTGTTATTGAAAAGTTAATGTTTTTCTCGAAATAGTAAGAGATGAATAAAAAAGTTTAACTAAATTGTGGGTTTTCTTGCGAAAAATAATTGAATGAATAAATAAATAAATAAATAAAAATAAACAATTGCTTTATTTAAAGTCAACGGTGCAAAGAATCGTCATGATTCACAGATTCGCTATGATAAGGTTTTGATTATATGTTATTTCTGAAAAAAAATGTTCTTCATATTATGATAGAAAGATCAATATAGGGTAGAAATAAGAATCAATATAGGCTATCAATATAGGCTATTAACATTGTTTATTCCAAATGCATTTTGAAAAATACAACAACAGTTTTAAGAAATTTTATTCTGAAATCGTATTTTAGGAGCAAAAGTGAACTTCAATTTAAAATTTGCTATCTAACAATTATATCAATACAATGGTAATGAATTTATTATTTTTACCAATGTTTTGAATTTTAATACAATACTTTTAACTGAAATTATATTTTATTTTTTATTTTAGAACATTACTACATATTTGAAAGATTTTGCCAGACTTATTTTCCAGAACATAAAGCATTTCTTGGACCAACTTAATTTTTTATTATGAAACAAAATAAAATTGGAATTAGAAAACAAAACTGGAATTAGAAACTAATTAGAACAAAAATAAATAATTTTTTTTAAATTCAATAATACGAACTTATGATTCAGTATTATTATTTATAATTAAAAACCAATTGTGTGTAAATAAATTAATAATTGTATTCTTTATCATTGTTGATTATATTTTAAAACATTTGAGCTTCTAGAACAAATTCTAAGAGTTTATGCTCTAAATATTCTTTAGAAATAATAAAATTCTGGTTTTTAAATATCTTAAAAACTATGTAGATATGCTCGGTACATTAGTTCAGTTTAATATATTATTTAAAATTTAAGGAATGCTAACAGACCAGTTGGAAACTTTAGAACATTCAATGATTTAAAGAAACATTTAATTTTAATTTGTTAATTTCATTTTTTAGAAAATTGGTCAAAAAAATTTTTTTTTTCAATAATTTATTTTTAAAATTTGTTTAAAAATATTTTTAAAAAATATTCTTTTGAATTATTTAAAAAACAAAACTTTTTCAAAAACTATTTTTTTTTAACAAAGAGCTTATTGGGTAAAGGTTAAAATAAGCGTTTTTAAAGAAAATAAATAATACTTTTCGGGAGAGATTTTATTTAAGTTTTTTATTTTTATTTTTTATTTATTAATAGTATGTGATTAATTCCTTTTAATTCCTTTTAGATGTTAAAAGTAACCATCTTCATTAAAATTGACAAAAAAATTTATGAATGGAATTATTGTCAAATATTGCAGAATCCTCCGAAAACTTACCTTCTTTGTAATCTGCTGTTTCGAGGTCAATTTCAGTGGTTGGAATTCTTGTTGTTGTGACACTTTCGATTGTTGTAGTGTCAAGTACGAGGGTTGACGATGGGAGCAAATCAAGTTTTGTGCTTTCCGTATCAGTATTAATTTCCTGAGACGTATTTTGTGACAATGTTGTAAAACTTAACGTCTCTGTTGTAAAATTTCCTAAGTTTTCTGTATCCCTATCGTTTGTATAATCAGTGTTTACTGATTCCAATTCATTCGTTTCAGTCATATCTGAGATATTTTCTGTTAAAATAGTGTTCGAATCGGAATCAGAAAATGTATCATAGCTTCCAGCTACTGTTGAAATGTAACTAGTATGAGTTGGAAAGGAACTAACTTTATCAGAATTTGGCACTTTGTTTGGTAGAGTAACAATTTCGATTTCTGTACTCACAGGATGCTTTGTAGTATCCCTCATAAGTATCGTTGGGAATGGATACTTTATTGTTGGCATCGTATTGTCACTATTTTCAGTATTGCTGTTTGTCATAGTATCAGTGCCTGTATCAGCTATCGTTGAAGGTTGATGATTTGAAATGATGGTATAACTGTCATAATTTGAGTAATTATTTTCAATCTTTGCGTCAGTATCAATTTCAGGTAATGAAGCAGTATTAGTTGAATGTTGATGATTTAAAATAATAGTATAAGGGTCATAACTTGAGTCTTTATCCTCAGTTGAACTGTCAATAATCATTTCAGTGTCAGTTTCAGATGATGAAACAGCACTTGTTGAAGGTTGTTGATTGGCAATGATAGTGTAAGCGTTATACTTTTCATCTGTTTGTGTTGAAGAGTCAGACACTTCCGCAGATGATTTTGTTACTTCACTAACGTTTATAGTTGAAGGTTTTGCAAAACCAGGTCTTTTAATGGGTCTTTTTATGGGCCTTTTTAAGGAATCTGAAGATGGCTTATGATTGTCAATGGTAACGATTGTAGTTTTTTTGTCACTTTCTATATTACTTGAGAGAGTAGATGGCACAGTTACTTTGACAAAATTCTGAGTAGTTTGAATGATGGAAAGCGGGGTGGGCAAATGTTCGCTATCAACAACTATAGAAACATTTTGTTTGGAAAAATATTTATCTTTTGTTGTGACGGGCAATTTCGGGACATTTCCATTTTCAATAACTTCAGAAGTGTTTTGTTTTGAAGAAATTTTGTCTTTTGTAGTTAGCGGTAATTTTGATAAATGTTTGTCCTCCACAGCAACTGAAACATTTTGTTCAGTAGAAATTTTGTCTTTTGGTATGAACGGTAGTTTTGGCAAATCTTCATTTTCTATGACAACAGAAGCATTATGCTTAGCAGAGATTTTGTCTTTTGTAGATGTCGGTGGTTTCGGTAATATTTTGTCCTCAACAACAGAAACATTTTGTTTCGAAGAAGTTTTGTCTTTAGTAGTGAGTGGTGAATATGGTATGTATTCGGTTTCAGCAACTTCAGAGTCATTTTGTTTCGCAGGAACTTTAACTTTTGTAGTAAGAGGAGAGTTTGGCAAATTTTCAACAACTTGAGAAGCATTTTGTTTCGCAGGAACTTTAGCTTTTGTAGTAAGCGGAGAGTTTGGCAAATTTTCAACAACTTCTGAAGCATTTTGTTTGGAAGAAGTTTTGTCTTTAGTAGTGAGAGGTGAATATGGTATGTATTCGGTTTCAGCAACTTCAGAGGCATTTTGTTTCGCAGGAACTTTTACTTTTGTAGTGAGGGAGGAGTTTGGCAAATTTTCAACAACTTCAGAAGCATTTGGTTTGGGAGAAATTTTGTCTTTTGTTGTGACTGGTAATTTTCCTTCATTGGGAATTGAAGAAAATATTGGTTTTATTTTATTTTTGTTTCCTAAAATGTTATGACTAGATGTTACCAATACTTGAGTGGTATCTTCTTGTTGGGATTCAGTCACGGCATGTGTTTCCTCGTTTATTGTATCAGATATAGCGATTAGTTCATTTGAGTTTTCTGAATATATGGTAGTAGGATCTTCAACTGAACTCTCATTGTGCTTTAAAGTGTAATCTTCATAATCATCATAATATTCGTAAATATAATAATTATAGTCAGAGTTATTTTCTGCACTAAAGTGAATATCTAAAACAAGATCAGTAGGTGCAGATACATTTTCTGAACTTGAAAAGCCTGTATTATCAACTAGAATGTCAGCTGTGGTAGAAAGTAAATCAGTCGCAGATGAAATGGTGCTCGATTCTGCTAAGAAAATAGAAGGTTTATTCTTTTGGTGATTTTTCATTTGATTTGGCCCAGTTACGCTACTTTTAAGAGTGGACGAAATAGCAACTGGCAGTGGAGTAGTGTAATTGTTAAACTTATTCTTTAGTGAAACATGAGGCTGTGTTTTAGTCTTTTCTTTTTGGGTTGTTTCAAGCATTTCTTTATGAATAGTTGATATGTCAATATCAACAATTGTAGACGATGTTATATATTCAGTGTTTTTTAAACTTATGGTATTGCTACTTGGTGACGTCAGTTTAGTTTTGTGAGAAGTTTCTGGAAGAGTATCTTCTTCCCAATTTTTCTCCATAGACACCAAGTTTTCCTCATGAACTGATGATGGCAATGTTTTGGTTGAACTATCAAAGTTTGTTAGTGTAACCGTATCCACAACTGTTGTTTCATTCTGATCAGCAGTATCAACAAACTCAATATGACTAGATACTGTTGTCGTGTACTTTGTTAAATCTTCAAAAGTCGTTTCAAAATTTGTTGTATGAGTTCTGAAATTATTTGCTTCCGTTAACATATTATCAAATGTTACTTTTGATGCGTCATTTGGAATATTAGTTAGGCTTAATGAATCCTTTGTTTCTGTGGGTACTAACTCTTCCGGAAAAGTTAGGTTGCTTAAAAATTCTTTAACAATTGTCGATAAGGGTAGATCTGAAGTTTCTGTAACTGGATTTATACTCACCAAAGGACTTTTGCTGGAAATTTTTTTCACGCCTTCAACTGTAACCTCTTCTTGGTGCATAATTTCATGACCATTCGCGTCGTACAATATTTGTGGTCGATATGCAACAGAGTTCCGTTCATTTAGATTTAAGTTAGGGATAGTAAACCCGTTCTCAGTCGTGTCTTCATTCAGTTTAGTAGTTAAAGCAATAATTGGATTAATTGTTGTTGTTATTAGTTCGTCACTTGCTTCAGCAGTTGTCTGAATTTCCTCTGTGGTAGAGGTCTGAGTATCAGTGACGTCAGCTAATTCAAAAAAATACTATATTAGTGCAAATGTTACAAAGCGTATTTTGTTTATTCAAGCCCGTGTGAAGTAAGAGCTTTCCTAACAGCTGCTAAACAAGCAGAAAATTTTTGAGCTGTGTTAAGAAATTATACAAAAATTTCCAAAGATTGTCATTAAAGAGTAACGTAATTAGATTAAATTTATTTTAAAATAATTTTAGTTATTCATTTAATCATTATTTATTAGTATTAAATTAAGAATAAGAAATTGTTATCTAATAAAATCGAAAACTTAGGAATTCATCGAAATATGTTCCAAGATGAATATGTTCTGAATCAATAATTTTCAAATGTCCATAAATCTTAGAATAGCAATGAAGTAATTCAATGTTAGCAAGTTCTTACGTGAACAAAGGCTTGAATAAATTAGTTAATGCAATCAGTATAAAAGCAAGCATAAAAGCTAAAAACATTAAAAAAACAACAAGCATAAGCTAAATCATAAATAATAACAAGCATGAGCTAAATCAATAAACATATTAAGCATTAGCTAAATTATTAAAAATATTAAAAGCATAAGCTAAAATCATTAAACATATTAAGCAAAAGCTAGATAATTATTAAAACTAATAATATCCAATCGATTTTTATAAATGAAAACATGACTGTAAAACATAGGTTTACTATATTAAATCAAAATATAAAAAAAATGACAAAAAAGCTAGAATTCATATTCTTTGAAATTGAATTAATTAAATACGTAAAATGAAACTGTAAAAGCATTCATAGCCATTTTCACAAAATGAATGATTGAATTTGATAAAATATTGCAGTTATTTTTCGTTGCTTTATTTCCTCAAATTAAATAAATTGTAAAAAAAAAATGCAACGTCAATTAATGTTTGTATACCTGAAGCATACATTCCTGATAAGTCTCTGACTTAACTATAGTTACATACTCCTTGGCTGTTTTAACTTATTTTAAAGCTTTTGTGGCATAGTACTAATTACTATCACAGTACTGTTGCGCATAGTACTAAAAAACTATGAAAATTATAAGTTATTACATTCTTCATTACTCGTCTTTAATTTAGGAAAATAATCGAATGATATATACGATTTGCTTTTTAAGAATATCCAAATTGTGGACAGTTAAATCCTTAAATTAAATAAATAAATAAACAAAAAATGGTAATAAAAAAGAAGAATTTTAATATAATTCGCATTCTAAAGACACATTATATTTTGAATGCTTTACTTCATGATTTGTAGATGACTTCTCAGCAGATGTTATGCATTATTTATTTAGTGTTTACAAAAGTAGATATTATCATTTCATAAATGTCTACATGTTTATCTATAGCTGTGAGCATTTATGCAGCTATGAATACGAATAGCTGTCCAGAAATTCTATAAATGTGTCCATAGTTAGCTAGCCAGGTATTGTCAATCATACTCTCTTGAAAAATGAATAACTATGCTTGTATTCTTCCAAAAATCTATATTTGATATCAATAGATATTTTCCTTTTCCTATCTTTTCTATTAATAAACATATTCACGCAAGAAATATTCATTTTTTCACATAAATGTATCCATGCAATAATCAGGCTTTCCTATCTATACTTCCATGTGTGCATTCTTTGGTAAATGCTTAAATTCCTTATCTTGGAATTTTTGTCAGTCTTAATATCCACATAAAATCTATCATTTATATCATTAGATGTATCCACGCAAAAAATATTTCTTCCTATCCACAGATGCATTCATGTAACAATTAGACTATCCTATCTATACATACATGCATGCATTCTTTTGTATAACATTAAATTCTATATTTCGGTAGGTTTGTTCGTCACAATTGGTTAGTTATAATATCACAAGTCGTTTCCTGTGTACATAATTCTGAGTTTAAATACAAAAATATTATTGGAAAACCAATTACGAACGTATTCGGATTCTTCGAGCGTGTTCAACTTCAAAGTTTAAAGCTAAACATGAAAATTGTTCCATACTTCTGAACCGTTGAATTAAAATTGTTTTTCTTTTACCAACGCTACGTAGTATTTATTTTACACAGTTCAAATCACATTTGTACTTTGTTGTCTAAGGTAATACAATACCTCATTCATTTGTTCGTCCTTCATTAAAGACAAATTAGTCGACTAATTAAATACAAATTAGTCGAAAAATTCCGGTTCCTTGGTTCAGTTGTTGAGTTTGAATTGTTTCCTGGTGATTTGGTTTAAACTTCCTCGAATTCTAACATTATTTGGCCGTTATGTACTTAGGATCTTTATTATTTTTGCTTGGTCAGACTTCTTAAATTTATTAAATAAACTTTTTCTGTACTGAGTCTTTTTTTGTTGAAGAATACAATTTAAAAACGGATTTATGTTAGGTGTTTAGCATCAAAACAGCTGCATTCCATATCAGAAATTTTATAGATGAACAAAAAAAGATATCACTTACAGATAATACTGTGGGAATTAGAATGCTGACAATGCCAACCTTCCTCTATCTCCTATCTATCAAATAGGTACCCCAAATTAAAATCGAGTTAACACGGGTTATATATACTAGTGAATTGGAATTGTACTCTTGTAGTGGTAGTTACACTACAATAGTAATGCATAAAAAAAATTAAGTAGCTAAGCGTTTTGAGAGGGACCGAGGTTCACGATTGTTTTAAAAAAAGTTTTCGCCTTTAAAACATTTCGGAATTCTTTGGAATTAGAAACATAATTTGAACTCAATTAATTTTGATATTTAAACAGGAAAATATATTTTTTGTTTGCTTTGTTTAAAAATAATACAAAGTTTTAAAAAGTAAATAATTAAAGTTTCCAACCATAACAATAAATACTTGCTTTTCAGTAAATAAAGTTTGGAACTAATTTAGTAATATTTACTCTTTTTTACTTTCTTAAAAATAATTCTATATTTTAAGAAATATTAGGAAAAAGACACACACACATATATAAATAAACCGAGTGTTTCATAATGGTCAGAATTTATGCATATTTTTAGAATCTTTGTCTAAAATGCTTGTCAATATGAGGTCACAAATTACTGTTTGATGTGAATACTTTTTTCGAACTTAATACTTATTTAACGCGTATACTTTTTTTATCTTAAACTTTGAAAATAATTCTAAAAATATGCATTAAAGGCAGTCATTACAAAACACTTTGAATTTAAAATCAGTGTTCATATAAGAAATAAATATGATTTTCAGTCGTAAATAATTTATAGTTCGTTTCTTATGATATATGTTATGTGAGGACATAGAACATGTGCTACTCAGAAATAAAAGATATTGAGGTAAGGGGAAAAAACATTTCGTAAGCAATATTACAGTCTCAAAAAAATTAGGTACAAAAAAGAAATATCAAAGGGTATAATGAACATAATTGAGAGACACTTTAAAAGCCGAATTGATTAAAACCAATATAAACTTCTATTGGATTTCACGAAAGACCTAACAAAAAATCTCTTTCAGATATCTTCGAAATTTATAAAGGGAAATATTTTATAATAGTATTTGACATTAAGTGTTTACTGCTTAAGACTTCAGTTATGAGAAAATTTTGAACAATCTGATGATCAATTAAATCTGTTTTAACTACAAACAAAATAATAGACTGGAAATTGTAAAGGTTCTTATGTTCATCTGTAAGTACTCGTCCAATATGTTTGCTTCTTCTTTATATCTGTATTCTTCAAAATTTTGAATCTACGACTCCTCTTTATAGTTACTTTTTTGTTCACTTTGACGAATGTATGAATCATCTTTATATCTGTTGCCTCATTTTGTTTTGAGAATATCTCGTCTACGAGATTACTGCAATTAGATATTACACTGTGATAATTCACTGTTGTTCATCTGTATCGAAATCATAAACGCTTTTTATATTGTGAAATCTATCCATTTGTAAATATTAAGTTGTTACAGATCATTTTAATCAAACTGTTAAATGTTACCTTTCATTTGTACATATTCATTTCCAACAAGATTGGAACTCTCTAATTTTTTGGTTTTAATGTATTTAAAATTAATTCCTGGATGCCCCCTACGGGGGTGGGTCGGAGTTAAGCAAATTAATGTAAGTCATACGAATTTTCTATGTTACCTTTTCAAACTATATAAATCTAGTTTGATTTCACCTAAAAAGTTCTAAACATAGAGATGCTTACCTGCAATAAATTTTCTAAATTTTTTTTTTTTAATAAATAAGAGGATAATCATCGCTGCTCAACGCATTTTTACAATCTAACATCACCAGATCTAACACAACAAATCTAAATATCAAACTCATTTCGTGCAAGAAGAGGTTAGATTTGAAATATTTATAATTAATTTAATAACGTGAATTCGGATGTCAAAGATGGAAAGAATTAACATGAGCTTCGGTGTTACTTTTTTCAGTTTTTTAAGTTCAGCAGTTTTTATATTTGGTACTGATATTTATAATACAAAAGAGTAGGAAATTACATTAAATTTACTAATTTTGTTTTCTAGTTTTTTTTTTAAATCTCAGTGTTATAGTCTCAAATTTAGTTTGATAATATGTTAATGTAATAAAAAATAAAAAGTCCAATTTATTTTATCTTCGTAAAAATGCTAAGCAGTTTATCATTTTGATAGTTAAAATTAATAAGAAATATACCCATATTGTTTTAAAAATATTAAAAAAATAGTTAAATAAAATACGGAGAACTAGATTCAAAATACTGAAAAGCTCGAGTCTGTAAATGATTTTGCTTTCATGTATGTAATAATTTGGAAAAAACAAAATCTCGTTAAGCTGCAGAGATCGTTTTTCGTGAGTTATTTTTAACTTTTCGTTGTGGATTTCTTCAGAAAGTAAACACCTGAAAGTTTTGAATAGAGCCTGTGGATTTATGATGATCTAAAGTTTGTAACCACTTCTAATATAATAACTTAAAATTGATTCATTGATTTTTATTCTAATTAACATGAATGACCTCATAATTTTAATAGATAAGAAATCCATAAAGAGGTTCATTAGAAAAAATCACTCTCATATAGAAAAAAGTATATATTAATACCTTTTGTATACTCCAATCCTGGAACTATTTTCGGAGTTGTTGATTGATCAGTTGGTGGCAGAGTTGATGTGGTAGTACTAGGTCTGGTTGGTGGTGGAGTTGTAGGCTTAGGTCTCAAGCTAGTTCGACGAGGTTTAGGAGTTGTAGTAGTTGTTGACTGAGTTGTTTTTGTCGTTTTCGTCATGCCAGGAAAAGGCGGGAAAGTTACTATCTCTATTGTTGATTCATAATAAGTCGATTCAATTGGTTTTCTGCTGCTATACCTCGTTGATGGCAAGGAATCAGTTTGAGAAGTACTAGGTTTTGTAGGTTTTACTTTAATAGGTGGTGTTGGACGTGTTGGTTTAGCCCTTAACGTTGAAACTGTTGAAGGCTTAGTCGGCTTTACCCTCAGAGTTGTTACCGTTGAAGGTTTAGATGGTTTTGTTCTCGGAGTTGTAACGGTAGAAGGCTTTGTTGGCTTTGTTTTTAAAACAGTAACAAGCAAAGGTCTCGAGATGTTTCTTGTGCTGTACTCAACAGTTGGAGTGGTTTTTGGATAGCTAATAGAATTTCGAATTGTTGTTCTTTTGGTTATAGGAAGAGGACGAGTACTTCCCTCCAAAATATTCGACCAAGTTCCGATAGTTGATCTACGTGTGCTAGAAACTGGTAAAGGTGTAGTTGATGTCGTATGAGGCCGTGTAGGTCTAGTTTTTCTTCTAGTAATTGTTGCAGTTGTACTCGAACTTAATAGAGGCCTTGTTGGTCTCGTCCTTCTTTTACTGGTAGATCCACTGGGTCTTGTTGGCCTAGTTCGTCTTTTCGGAATCGAGGTTGAACTCGAAGCTTCCTTAGCACTTGTGTGCGCTGTTTCATTTTTAATTCTGTTGTCTACTTTCTGGTCATCGACAGTGCTTGCAAACAAAGGTTTAGTTGAAAACAGCTTCGTTGGCTTTACTTTGATGGGCTTTACAGTAGTGGATGGGGACGCGTGAGGCCTCCATGTTACAAGACCAGGAGGAAATTCTGTACTGGAAGCTTTAACTGGTTTAGATGGAATTCTAGAGGTTGATTGGCGTTCAGAAGATTCTGTCGTATAACTACTGTGTTTTTGTGTTTGCAACTGTGTTGGTTTTTGTTTAAATGATTGAACTTCTGTGACATCATTAGAGTCTATCGAAGAAGGTGTTGCAACATATACCCCCGGAGGGAGCTTGCAACAACTGCCGAAGTAAAATCTGTCCATACAGTATGTCAAATGAGTTCCATTTGATCTTTGGCAGTTCCATGAAAACATACACACACCTTCTTCTTTTGTTGCTGGGTCATGGCAGGTATATGGTTGGATGTCTCTACTTCCACCTGAAATAGACATAAATTGATAATAAATTTTAGCTGTTATAATATAGCAATACTGTTATAATAATGTTTAGCTGTTATAATATACTAGAATGTAGCAATGATGCAGATTAAAACATGCCGTTTTCTATCTTGCAAATTTGCGTTCCTATATTGTTGGAAATACTTGGGAGAAAATTAGATCAATAAAAATAGTACTTAGAAAATTAAAAAATTTTTATGTTTGCATTTGCCTTGATTGTTTATATCTATACGGAATAAAATTTGAGATTCAAATAAGACGTGAAACTTCTTGCCATTTTTATCATCATACCAATTTCAACGAATTATTATTGTCTACGAATCTTATTTTTTACTTGCATTTCTTGTAGTTTATGTAGTTTATTTTCTATTTCATTGTTTTTATTTTCAATATAGGTATGTATTTACCCTGTTAGAAATTTTGCTGCTTGATAAGAAATGATAAACATTTGCTACACGCTTCATTGATTGGCAAGTGTTACCATATCAATTGGCAAAGGAATCCTTTTTAAACTTGATTATACGATGCTATAGTACAACTTGGAAACTTGGCTCAAGTTTACTCCGTATTAAGGTTGCACTGAACTTGTATGGCATCATAGGGAAAATTTTTGAACCGATGTTTTTAAAGTGTTATGTTTAGTGAGTCTTTTTAAAAGTTTTAGTCCATTATACGGATTTAGTGATTTAAAAATGAATTAATATTTATTCAAATGATATGAATGGGTAATCAAATACAGTATGAAGTTAGTGATCAAAAAGTGGGTTAAAGTTTATTCGTATAAAGTAATATTACTCAATTTAATGCAGTCCATGATCTGTACTTCATTATCAAATGGCGATCAATTATTACTCAATTGATTTTAACTTTTCTTATGTTAATAGCGAGATAATAATTTAATAAGATTTGTAAAAGAATTGCATTCTGTAAAGTCATCTTGAAACAAATTGCGTTATTACATACATTTATCCTAGTAAATTTTCTTTATTTTAGAATAATAATAATTTCTCAAATGCTTATAAAATTATTTAGTATTAAGATTTTTAAGGGAAAAAATTTCGCCAAAAATTAAAAAATTATTTATTTAAAATTTATCAGCAAAGCTTAAGTTTTTTTTAATATAAATGAAACTCACAACAAGTGATAAACTTCATCTTGATTATTAACAATTTAAAATTTTTTTATCTAGTTGATGTCACGAGTTATTACTTTATTGATATTTATTTGAATTTTTTATACTGATATAAATCTCAGCTAAATCATTTTAATAAGTATTTATAATAGTTAAGTTTACATAATTGAGACTTTTTAATATTCTGAAAATTTTTTTTCTTGTTGGTATTAATAGCCAATCAGTAATATTTCTAAAAAGGTTTTTATGAAAGTATTTTTCGCAAATCATTCAAGATTTACAATTTGTAATCATTACACTGTAAAAACTATCTCGCGATAATCGTGCAATATCTTACCGAACACGACTGTGGCGTAAAGTAGTTGCCACCATTTTGATGTTCAAATACACGAAAATTTTTATCAGTGTTGGACTATAAATTGAAGAAATTTTACTACAAATTTTATGAAATATGGTACACGTAATTTGAACAAACTACAGTTTACTAATCTTCTTCTTTAACAAAGAAATTATTTTTAAGATTTAAAAAATTTTAATTAAAAAGAAATTTTATAAATTTTACAAGGGCTCGCGATGATTTCTTTTGTTATTAGTATTTGATTTAAATACCTATAAACTCTTTCTCGATCCTTTTTAGAAAATCAAGCGTTCCTTTCCAAAAAAATTTTTTTCACACAATTAATTTATATTACTAAACATTAATTTCGAAGTATTTATTTTTTGAAATGATTGAGTTGTTAAAATAGGATTAAAATCATTGTTGTGTTTCACTTTCATATTTATGAAGCAACCATACAGTTATAGAATGTGAAAGGTCAACAGTCTAAAGCAATTACGGATAGGAGAGCTCGCATTTTCTCAAAATTACCGCATTTTGTCACATTCAACCAGGCGAAATGAAATGGCGAGCGTGCGTGAAAATACATGTGCTCAACCTGGGAAGACAGTAAAAGCATTTTCGACAAAAAGTATGCGGAACAGAAAAACACACCTTGACCTTTCCCACTTCCACCTTCCCTCGTGAAATGAGAAGGTCGTTTACCTTTAGAATGGGCCCCGTTATTTCGAACTGTCAGGTTTTTCTTTCTTTTTCCTTTATTGTGACACAGTCACAATCGTCTTTGAATGTCATTAATATTTATTAGAACTTACAAACTGAAACTACGGATCACGCTACTTTTTCTTTTTTTCTTCTTCTTTTTATTATAAGTTGATCATTAGCATAGGCAGTGATTTTAATTTGTTTTGTGTTTTATCACATTCATGTTATATTTACCACATTAATATGTTTACCACATTTATTTATTACATTGTTTTATAATTAATATAAATCGGGACTTATAAACTGAAACTACGGATCACGCTACTTTTTCTTTTTATTATTAGTTGATCCTTAGCATAGTCAGTGATTTTAACTTGTTTCGTGCTTTATCACATTCATGTTATATTTACCACATTAATATGTTTACCATATTTATTTATTACATTGTTTTATAATTAATATATATCGATACTTATAAACTGAAACTACGGATCACGTTACTTTTTCTTTTTTCTTCTTCTTTTTATTATAAGTTGATAATTGGCATAGGCAGTGATTTTAACTTGTTTCGTGTTTTATCACATCCATGTTATATTTACCACATTATTGTGTTTACCACATTTATTTATTACATTGTTTTATAATTAATATATATCGGGACTTATAAACTGAAACTACGGATCACTCTACTTTTCTTTCTTTCATTTTTTAAGAACAATAAATGACATGGGGATTTTAATTTGTTTCGTGTTTTTCGTATTCAATTATATTATATTTACAAAATTATTTTTTCATTTATGTCAATCGGAACTCACAAACTGAAACTACAAATCACGCATCTTTTTATTTTTTATTTTCATTTTATTTTATGATAAGTAGATAAATCAGTGATTTTAACCTGCTTCGTATTTTCCATATTTATATTATATTTACCAAATTATTATATTTACCATATTTATTTATCATCCTTATTATCCTATGATTAATATTATTATACATTATCTTATGATTAATATTTATCACAACTCACGAACTGAAAATACTAATCACTCTATCACATTTTTCTTTCTTCATTTTTTCTTCTTCTTTTTCTTTTTTTTTAAATACATAACTAACATAGTCATTTTAATTTGCTTCGTGTTTTACCACATTTATATTACATTTAAGAAATTATTTTATCATTAATGTTAATCAGAATTCACAAACTAAAATTACGAATTACGTAATTTTTTTTATTAATAAAAATAGATAATTAAAAGTCAATGATTTTAACTTGTTTCGTATTTTACCATATTTACCAAATTATTATATTTATCATATTTATTTATCATTTATTTACTACATTATCTTATGATTAATATTTATCGCAACTCGACTGAAACAATGCATCCTGATACTTTTCTTTCCATCTTTCTTTCTTTTTTTTTATTTAAAAAATTTAGCTAACTAACCTAGTGATTTTAACTTGATTCATGTTTTAACTCATTTATATTATATTTACCACATTATTTTATGATTAATATTTATCGGAACTCTCAGACTGAAATTTAGGATCGAGCATCTTTTTCTTTATATTAAATGTAGATAACTAACATAGACAGTGATTTTATCTTGTTTTATGTTTCACGACATTTATGTTGTATTTACAATATTAATAATTTCATCACATTTACTTTTTAGATTATTTTATGATTAATATATATCGGGAATTATAAACTGAAACTACGGATCACGCTGCTTCCTCACTTTTTTTTCTTACTTTTTTTTAAAAAAAAAGTCGATAACTAACATAGAGATTTTAATTCGTTTCGTGTTTTACCACATTTATATTTACCACGTTCTTTTATCATTAATGTTAATATAAACTCACAAACTAAAACTACGGATCGCGCAACTTTTACTTTAAAAAAAAATCAAAAGTAGATAATTAACAGTCAGTGATTTTAACTTTTTTCGTGTTTTACCATTATATTTACCAATAAGGAAAACGAAGGAAATAAAAATAAAAATATGACATATTTTTATTTTTATTTCCTACGTTTTCTTTATTGCTATATTTATTCTTTCTTTTGAAAATTCTGCTGCTTTTAAGCACGTTTCTTTCAAAGATAGTTTTGTCAATTTAGAATTAAATATTTTGTATTCTTTTACTATTATATTTACCAAATCATTATATTTGCCATATTTATTTATCACATTTATTTACTACATTATTTCGCGCGTAATATTTTTCGGAACTCATAAACTGAAACTATGGATCACGTTACATCTTAGAATAAGAATTAGAATAATCTTATTAATCCTGAAATAATCTTATCTTAGAATATTCTTAGAGTAATCTTATTAATCTTAGAACTTCAGCATAAGAATTATTTCAAAAATCTTATGACCTAACGCTATTTTAAATAAAGGTATATTCAGGACAGGAGTGCTTGAAAAAAGGCCTTATGTGCCAGCTGGCTTATAAGCTGGTATATAAGTTTCGGCCAACTGGTGCAAAATTTATTCACAAACTGATTCAATAGATCACGCTACTTTTTCTGTTCTTAAAAAACTATATAACTATCATTGACAGCATGTTTATCTTGTTTTGTGTTACATCACATTAAAAAAATTTAATGGAATTTCTTTTTACATCAAAGTTGTTTAAATACCCCCCCCCCCCGTTATTCATCGCTATTATTTTAGTTTATGTGTTATTACACCGATATATGAATTAAATGCATTTTTAATTGTATGCATAATCATAAATAAATGGTTAACTGATTAACTGTAATTTAACTGTTGTTTAACACTGTAATTTTTAA